CCCGGCCACCGATGGTAGGGCAGTTGGGGCGGGGGATGTGGAGCAGACCGGAGCCAGAGGAACGGAGGGTACGGGCGGGTAGGTAGGTGGATAGTAGGTCGGAGAGGTAGGAGGGAGCGAGGCCGTGAATGGCCTTGTAGGTGAGGATGAGGATCTTGAATTCGATCCTCTGGGGGATGGGGAGCCAGTGGAGGCGAGCGAGGGTGGGAGTGATGTGGTCGCGGTGTCTGGTGCGGGACAGTACACGAGCTGCAGAGTTCTGAATGACCTGCAGTGTGGAGGGAGGTGGCGGGAAGGCCGGCGAGGAGAGAGTTCCCATAGTCCAGCCTTGAGGTGATAAAGGTGTGGACCAGAATTTCAGCCGCGTGAGGGGTGAGGTAGTGCCGTAGTCTGGCGATGTTTTGGAGGTGGTGGAAGGCGGTGCCAGTTGTGGCGTGGATATGAGGGAGAAAGGACAACTCAGGGTCGAACAGAACACCGAGGTTCCTGATGGAGAGTGCAGCCTTGGATGCTGATGCTGTCAATCAGGAGGGCCTCAGTTTTGCGCACATTGACCTGAAGAAAGTCTAAACCTAAACCTAAACGTCAACAACTTGCTCACCCTAGACAACCATCGCCCGTCAGTTACATCCTGTCTTCACCCTCTCCTCTCCCCCTCGTTCCCCCCCCACCCGCTACATTTTTAACATAGTTTCGTAACTGACAAGTTGCCGTCCCTCTAAAAGGTCGTCCGCCAACTGAAGTGGACTTAAGGTCATCGGTTGCATTAGCCCTGAGGGACACTGCACGAGACAGTGGAGGAAAAGCCGTTTGCAGAGACAAAATGAAGACGGTGGGAGAGGTAGGACCTAAACCACTCAAGGACAGGGCCTTGAAGGTTGAGGTGGGAGGACAAACGGTGGAGAAGGATAGAGTGGTTGACCGTATCGAATGCAGCCGATAGGTCGAGGAGGACGAGGAGGCCGAGGGAGCCCTGGTCGCAGATGGTCAAGATGTCATTGGTGACCTTGACCAGGGCGGTTTCTGTGCTATGGGCAGCACGGAAACCTGACTGAAGGGGTTCGAAAAGTGAGTAGGTGGTGAGGAAAGAGCGCAGCTGGGAAGCGACGACTCTTTCGAGAACCTTGGACAGGAAGGGGAGTTGGAGATGGGCCGGTAGCTTGATAGCTGCGACGCATCAAGGGAGGGTTTTTTCAATGTGGGAGCGATGGTGGCAGTTTTGAGAGGAATGGGAACTGAGCCAGAGGAGAGGGACAGGTTAATAGTGTCTGTGAGAAGTGGGGCAAGGAGGTGGAGCTGGCTATACCGCTGGCTGGAGATTAGTCAAGGTGAGATAACACTTTACAGATTTCCATGAACAATTACTTCAAGCAGAACCCTACAGATACCCGTTATGACTGAGAGGAAATAGCTCGTGTTAAGACTGAATGAGCTTGAAGCGGGTTGGGGAGAGGACAAGGGCAGTGGGATTGAATCAGCACCTTGATCTGAGAGCTGGTGCAGACTGGATCACCTCTTTCTTCTCTGTAAATTTCTGGAGCAGTGTAAGACTGTGTCAGTGAAGAAAGTAACTGAAGAATAACATATGAGTGGTTCAGATGGTGTGGGTCGCAATGAAATCTTGCAGAGTTAAGTTTACAAATGCCTTGAATATTGAGGTCAATATGGCGTCTGCTGCAATCACTGAAACAAGCGAGTGCCTGCAGCCTGCCTCCCATTGGGGACCTGTGCAGATCCCATCCTTCCCACTATTAGGAGCAGCTTTCACCTCAAGTTTGTGACTCTATCGTTCGGGGAAATCACAGAGCGTGAGATTCACAGCGCAATGGAACACTTTGAGCCCGAGAGGATTGCCGGAAAAAACCTAAACGTCAACAACTTGCTCACCCTAGACAACCATCGCCCGTCAGTTACATCCTGTCTTCACCCTCTCCTCTCCCCCTCGTTCCCCCCCCCACCCGCTACATTTTTAACATAGTTTCGTAACTGACAAGTTGCCGTCCCTCTAAAAGGTCATCCGCCAACTGAAGTGGACTTAAGGTCATCGGTTGCATTAGCCCTCCCTCCCACAAATATGGTGGGATCCAATGGGGGCGGGCGAATTGCATAGGCACGATCTTGCAAGGTAACAGACAACGTAGGCAATTAATCTTTTAATGGAAATACTGATGGCTGGAGATTAGTCAAGGTGAGATAACACTTTACAGATTCCCATGAACATTTACTTCAGCCGGAATCCAATAGATACCCCGTTATGACTGAAAGGAAATGGCTTGTGTTAAGACCGAATGCTATTTTTGTGAGTGTCAGTAAATCTGCTGATGCTGTTAGCACCTTTGTCACCTTAGAGCTGGGTGTTGAGGAAAGGGACGAGTTGTAGCTCTGTGGCTTTAATCTAGTTCTGAGTTGTGAACTGCTGCCTTTGCACCTTTTAAACTTGACACAATTTTAATCAATGGACGATAAGCTGTCGCAAAATCACGAGCGAGTCAAATGAAGAAGATCGTCTGACCTATTTGATCTCATCCTTCCAATAATCCATACCATATCATTCTATCCTCCCATCAAAGCACCAAGGTGTTTTCTTAAATTGGCAGAAGATATTAATATTCACACTGACTTGAACCATCCTAAATGCCATCAACAAAGTTGATCCCGGAGAAAATCAGAAAGATATATAATTTAAGGTCGGATGGGGTCTTGGATTCAGCGGCGTGACTGGGAAAACTGGGTTATTTACTAGCTGTGATAGCTTTGGTGTGCGCTACTGTGTTAGCATCAACAAGACTGACCAGGAACATAGTTAATCCCTTTAGCTTCCGATGAATTTTGAACCCAGTCCGGCTCGGTTGATAGCACACTCTCATCCGGGTCAGAACATGGTGGGTTGAAGCCCGAGATCGGCACTCGGAAGTTCTGGGCTAAGGTGACGCTCCAAAGCAGTGCTGGAGTGTCAGAGCCACTGTCCTTCGCATAAGATGTTAAACAGAAGGTCCCTTCCGCCTGGCTCAGGTGGACATTAAAGATCCTACTGCGCTTTTCGAAAAAGAGCTTCTCTCTCCCGCTCTCCTGGTCAACAATCCCCCAAATAAAATTGTTCATTCACCTCACTGCTGCTTGTGAAACTTTGCAAATAGGCTGCCATGTTTGCTCACAAAATACAGCATTTACTCAAGTTACTACACTAAGTCCTCTGAAGTACTTTGAGATGTCCTCCCGCCGTGAAAGGCGCTGTATCAAATGTATGGATTATTTGAAATTGTTTATGTGCTTGGGACGAAGTGAAACCGAGCTCCCGCCTGTGCCCAGTTTAGCTGAAAAACTTAGGCACGTTTTCTTACTCCACACGCCTCTATTTACCGAGCAGTAAGTAGGAACCCAGTTGTCAGTTGATCGGTGGATTGCTTTCCGGGGGTAATAAGCCCTCAAAAAATTTGGTCACTCAATCTGCAACTGTGTGGGACGCTGCTGTATGCAATTGACACGGCTGCAAAATACACTCAATCTACTTTACATTATATTCTGTCAAGCGCTTTGAGATGTGTCGACGCTGTGATAAGGCACTGTATCAAATGCAAGTATAATTATTATTACTGTGGCCCTATCCCCCCTTGCCAGCCCTAACACTATAATTCCCACAAGTTTCACAGATCCAGACAGCTGCAAGCAGCGAGAAAACAGGACTGGAGTCAATGCTGATGCTTTTCAGGGTCCAACCAAGTCCAAACTCTCAACGTTTAATTTCACTCATTGAAACTAGCCTCGAGGCAACGTGCCAGTGGGCTAATAGTGCCAATGGGATTGTGCAACAACTTGCATTTATATAGCAGCCTTCACGCTGGCTAGTGTCTCAAAGCCCTGACTCGCTAGCACATGCACAGTTGATGAATGGAAACAGACCGAGTTGGGCCATCATTCTTATGTCATTATTTTCAGGGCAGGAAATGGGGGCAAGAGAGGACACAACTGGCTAGAAGGAAAACCACATTTTGTGCAAGATTATTGGCTGAAAAAAAAGGAAGTTCTTCCCACAGTCTAATTAAAAAAGTGAAACATGGAGAGCTATGTACGTCACTGGCAAGTTTGCTGCATATCATTTGCTGGAGGGGAAATAATTATTGTTGGGGTACTGGCATTGCATAACACTCAATGGTGCAAAGCTACTGAATCACTGCCCTCGTATTTGAACAGGAAAATATTTTACTTCCTCCCGGACTCCTCTATTCCCCTCTTCCTCATAGTTTCTAGAGTTTCTGCAATTTGAAACAATCTGGCAAAGCTCGTCAGGCAATGGCTGGACTGTGTACTTATAGGTGCCCTGGAAGCCAATTAGCGCACGACAAGGTCCCACAGAAAGCCACGGTGCAAATTGCTAACTGACCGGGCGGGAGCCATGGCTAAGGAGACAAGTTAATCCGGGGAAAAAAAAAGGTTTCTCAGGGTAAAGTTTGTGTAAATCACTAACTTGCACTAAACTGTCCGCTTGCACAGAGAGCAAACGTACTCCTCCATTCTCACTACTGTGATATTATCATTCCTGATAAGGATCATTATCAGCAGTGGTTTGCTTTTCAGGTTTATCCCCGAAGTTGAGTGCAATACACATGTTTGACTCCAGCAGTCTGAGCTGCTCATTGAGATGTCTTTCACGCAGTAACCAGAGTTCGTGTATATTCTGTCTATATTCAGACCCGAGTTGGCTGTTCAGGTGGACACGATTTGAAATCTCCAAACAGATTGGCCCCCATCTTAACATCTCATGCGCAGGACAGCACCTCCCACATTATAACATTGCCTCTCCCCTTCATTGTATTGGAGAGTCAGCCTAAACTTTGAGCTCAAAAGTCCTGATATGGGGCTTGAACCCACAACCTTGGCGCCTGATCTGCTGAGTGTTCCCAACGACTTCTGTTTTTATTTCAGATTTCCAGGATCTGTGGTATTTTGCCTTTTGGATTCACAATTTAGGTTCTTTTAAAAAAAAGTCTCTTTTTACACACTTTTCGTCATATCTTATTTATTGCAGTGTTCGTTTTCCTGACGTGCATCTCAGAGCAGCAGCAGGAGAGGCCTAATGCTTGCTAGACAAGACGATTGCTTGATTAAAAAACACACACATCAGGGAATGGGAGGGAGCAGATGGGTCTGTTCCAGGGGACAGGAACAGGAAAGATATCTTTTTTTATACAAAATCTAAAGATGTAAAAGGGAAAAAAATAATTTACAAAACAAATCCAGGATGTAAATTTAAAAAAAGTGTGCAACCCTGGAAAACATAATATAATACACAAGAAAACACGACCTCAATCTTCAGAAAGATACCGGAAATAAGCTGAGCAACTATCATATTCCAACGACAAAAGAACCATGAGGCAGGCACACCAAGAGCAGAAGCTGATACGAGTCCGGTTCTTCTAATCAGATGTTTAAACGTTTCCAACAGAAGACCCGATGATGCCTTCAGTAGGAGCCTCCGGTAACAGCGGTGTTGAGGCTGACCCACTTGCTGTGCTGATTTCAGCAGCTCTCCAGCACATGGACGTTGAAGGTGGGATTCCTTTCAATCTGACCGGGAGTAAGGGCTGCCAACCACTCTCCGAAGCCGCCAACTCTAATGATTTCTGAACTGTCCTTCCAGTGGCCTGCGCAGAGGCGAGGTCGGGTGGATTGGTTGCCAACAGGAATGAGTCTCCTGAACTTTATGCAATCCAACTAAAGGTCAACAAGTTAACCACATTCAGTGTCTAAGGTGTGGGGGCCACTGTAAGCAGAGAGAGGATGTACATCGGCTAATATAAATCATCCTTTTACCTTAAAACCCAAAAGGGAGTGAAATTACAATGCAAAGCTTTGAGAGTTGATGCTCCAATTTGGGGGGAAATACACCATAATTTACAATAAACTTACGAAACGAGATTGTTTTTTTTTAAAAAAAGGGAAAAAAAGGAACACTTTGCTTTCGAGCAGTCAAACCATTATTAATTAATCCCAACAAACCAGCTTCCTGATGTATTTGTAACGCAACAATAGCAGTTTCTGCCTCCACACCCCACCGCAACCCCCTCCACCTTGGCTCTTGCCAAACTTGTGCCTGACATTGACTTTAGGTGACCAGGAACTGTCCCTCCATTGGGGTTGGGGGGGGGGGCAGGGAAAGGAAAGTGGAAGGGAAAGTGGAAGCGAAAGAGAGAGAGAAAATGCACACTTCAGTCCACATGGGATAGATTTGTTGTCGTACATATGTTGATCTCTCAACTTGGCTTGGATACTCTTAACCACAGTGGTACATTCCACACAAGCTGACAATAAAATTGACAAACTGCAAATTCTGCGCAGTTTTCCCCTGAAGTCAATTAACAGCCAGTCAGAGGAGACAATGAGGTCAGGCCCCCGACCACGCACTGTTGGCAAACCATCACACTCCAGCAATTGGTGCAGGACAGATGTTCAGAGACATCACATGTTCCTACCCTATTTCCGGTCACACATCATTTAGAGAGTTGTTCTCATTTGTGTTTGGTTGGGCAATATGAACCTGAAGGCCAAACTACTGGTGATTACAGCAAGCGGTTTACATCAGTAAGAGGAACTCCAGGATTACAAGGGGATTTAATAGGAATTTTAACATTCTGACAATTTTTTAGAGGGGAGATGGTGAAATGTTACTCCAGCTGCTGGGAAAATAAAGGGGGCATCAGCTATGGAGCATCACTAGAAAAGTTAAGAAGAGATTAGAATAAATAGGGATATTAGAATATGCAACACATTGTCACAAGTCACTATTACATCTAAGAACATAGCAATTAGATCGATTTGAGGAGGAAGACTACAAAAAAAAGCGTATGGAAAGAGTGGGGAATTGGGATTGGATTAGCTAAATGGCCTGCTCTGTGCTGCCATGTATTCTGTATTGGAACGATAGTCAATACGTAAACCGCCAAAAAATTAAGATGAACCTTGAATATCAACATCACTGACATGGCTTGTTTTCCTAGGAACACGCATCTAACTGCCTGTTCATGGTGGATATCAAATGGTGTGTGGGTATGAGTTGGCAAGCACAACGTACAACTTAAGACTCATATCAACTGTGTCTGATGCATACCAATGGTTACCTTTACCCAGTCATAGTGCAGTCATATCTTAAGCTTTTCACCTACTTGGGCTTGAGGGGTGAGGTATGCGGAGAGATTCTTACTTTTCTTCAAAGGGCAGCGATGGCTTTGGCTGCCACCCTGCGACCCAAGGGCAGCCCCAGATCCGTGATGGCGAGCACCGTCTTTGGCTTGGACAGCGCAGGCAGTTTCAACAGTTCCGAAACCTGGTTGTTTTCACAAGACAAAGAACACGGTCATTTCTATACGAGCCCCTTGAACTGCCACAGAAACAGAACAGCGGAAAGTTTTGCTTTTGCTCCGTCTGCAGAAACTCCGCACTCCACTTAGCACAAATGCATCGAGCCTCAATCAAAGAGGGCAAATTAATTATGGATGCTCTATGCTCTCAAAACACAGGTCTGCAGGTACATGTTGGAAGTTTTCAAAGATAATTTCATAAATCTGACCAGAGAGTTGCTGGGATGTGGAATGACTTGTCAAGTAGGATGGTAGAGCCAGAGTTTATTGTAAGTTTCAAGAGGGACACGAGAGATAGAGACTTGAAGGGATCTGGGGAGAGGCAATTAGGGGAATTGAATGAACAACTTGTTCTGAGAACTGGTGCCGACTTGATTGGCTGAATGGCCTCCTCCTGTGCTGTAAGATGTTCAGAAACTTGCAACTTGGTAGACATTCCAGTCTTAATGAATTTTAAGTATTGGAGAATACCCCCAAACACTATACAAAGCTTCACTGTGATCGGAAACTGTGGTTGTAGCAAAAGGCATCAATGTATTTAAGAGGAGACTTGATGCATACGTATGAGGGAGAAGGGAATCCAGGGTTTGTTTCTGTATCCTGACCTGTTTCCATGTTGTATCATTCTATGTAATTCTATGAAAGCTACAGAAACAAACAAATTGATTTAACACACAGAAACTCCTGCTAGATTTTGTTTCTAGCACTAATTTTATAATACCTTTTGGTACACACGTCACTTCTAAATGAAAATGTCCCCCACATCGAAAGCAGTGCTCAACTACACTGACCAAATCACGACACACATGGTTTATTAACTACGTTCACGCAGACAGAGAAAGTGCACTTTAAAATAACTTTGTCAGAGCAGAATGCAGGTTGGGTAAAATGAAAAGTAAACACTAACTTGCTAAAAGAATGAATGTCAGACCAACACGAGCATTCAATACACCAGTGCACCAATTTCTTGGGAAGTGGGTGCTTGGATGGTACGTAGATTTCAGCAGTAATTCATTATTATTATAGTAAGTATGAACTCTGCATTTTGTCCCTGGAAAATTAAGTCACTTAGTTGTGTACTTATTCTGTTTTCTCTCCTTCTCAGTCAGTGTATTTTTTTTATTTTGCTCCAAATTTATAATGTGGTGTGTTTGTGTGTATCGATGCGTGTGAGGTGTGTGTATATATACGGTGTGTGTGCAGTGCCATGCGTGCGTGCGGGGGGAAAAGTGCGTGCGTAGTTGTGTATCATTCTAAAACCCATTTCTGCTAGTCTCTCTGGATTGTACTCACCATGGTGAAAGGCATGAACTGAAGGATGCTGCCCCGGCTGCCTTGATCCAAACACTCAACGCACTCTTCCATGAACCACTGAACAAACTGGGTGTGTGGGCCGGCCACCCTGGAGCCCAGGATGGAGGAGATTAATAGGAACAGGTTTGCTGAAAAAGAGACCAAGGTAATGATCCACAATTGCAGTGGGAAGCCACTAACCCAGTAACAGCTGTATCTGTTATACTGAAATCTGTCTCCTCCCTAAATACAGAGCAACGCTCCACAATGACAGGAAGCCAAAAGCCAGGCACAACAACTCTTTCAATCCAATAAGGTTCTCCCCTGCTCCCCGGTCAGCACCTATTCAAGCTGGGAATGGAACGCAGAACATCATGAGATACTTTCCACGGGGCTCTCGTCGCACTAAGTGGCTGTGGAGCAACTCCTAGCCCACCCACCGCCCCACTCGTGCATATTTTATTGCAGTCAGTAAATGTGCATGCGGCAATGGGTCAGGACTTCGTTTTCCGCAATTCAATGCAGCCGGTAAGTGCGGTGGCGGTGCTACGAGTTAGATGATTTGTTTCATAAAATATAACTAGTGCAAAGAAATCTAAGTGTTTTTTTCATGGGAAACTGAATGGGACTCAGGTGCTTGTATGAATTAGGCAATTATATGAATTGCAAAGATAAGTTTGCGAGCTTTACTGTATTAAAGTCTGATTTGCAGTGAGAAAACATACAGCAAACACAGCTGTTTGTGGGACTTTGCTGCGTACAAATTTGCTGCTGCCTATAAAATAGTCACTGAATATTACAGTAAATCCGGTGACATCCCCCCAAGCTAAATCAAATACAAGGATTATTATTATTAAGGCGAAACCTCAGGCAAGTTTGCTTACTCCACACACCTGTTTAACTGGCAATAAGTAGGAATCCAGTTATTAGTCGATTGATGGAGCACTTTCAGGGGTAATAAGCCCTCCAAAGAATAATGATAATAATATGGTCACTCAATCCATAAGTGTTTATGGGACACCGCTGTGTTGCATTTCACTCACAACACAGTCACTACAATTCGCAGGATATCTTGTGAAGCTCTTTGAGGCGTCTCAATGACGTGATAAGGCGCTATATCAAATTGCAAGGTTTATTATTATTACTATTTATCTACCTCAAAGAAAAAGAGGGCCATTTAGTTTTCACCAAATGTTTACTGCACAGCCAGTGTCTCGTAACTGAAAAGATCACTGTAATTTTGCGAAGGAAATTGTTAAGAGGATGAATTTTGTATCAGCCTGGCTCAGCTTGCCTCTGAGTTCAAGCCCCCATGTCAAGACTTCAACTCATTTCGTCTACGCAGGGCTGGGAACTTGCTGCATTGTTGGAGGTGTTGATACGAGACAATAAATCGAGGCCCCATCTTGCCTGTTTAGGTGGATATTAAAGATCCTATGGTACTCCTTGAAAAGAGTATTGGCCAACAATACGCCAGATAAAATTGGTGATTCACTTCTTGGCTGTTTGTGCACATTGCTATACACAATTGTACTGGCACATTCACCTACAAATACACAGTTGCTTCATTTCACAGTAAATCCTGTGAAGTGCTTTGACGCAAAAGGGGCTTTATCAAATGCAAGGATTATTATAATCAATTTTCCAACTGGAAAGTAACCCCTCACAATGTAACTGCTCCATAAAACAACAACAAAATGCATTTATATAGCACCTCTCATGCAGGGTAGCTTCTCAAAGCGCTTAACAGTGCCGACAGCGAGCTGGGGGGAGGGGGAGCTGACCGTCAGCGCGGTCGAAGAGGAGAGGCTGGTGTCACTATATAGCATACGGGAGGCTGAAGAGTTCATGGATTGAACATTTCAGGAGGTGGTCACCCCACAGCCACAGTGGATTCAGAGGGAGAGTGAGTGGGTGACCACCCGGCATGGAAGGAAGAGGGGACGGGCAGCTCAGAACTCCCCTGAGTGTGGCACGCAAACCGGTTCTCTGTACTGAATACCGGTTAAGGTGATGACACCTGTGAGGAGGGGAGTCAAAAGCAAGTGGATACACAGGAGGACACAGGGAAGAGAGTCAATGCAATTATCATTAGGGACACAATGGGGAAAGGAGTAGACACGCGTTTCTGCAACCAAAGACGTGACTCTCCCTTGGTGCCTCCCTGGTGCCAGGGCTAAGGATATCACGGAATGGGTTCAACACATTCTACAGGGGGAGGAACATCCAGAAGTAGTGGTCCATGTTGGGATCCATGATGAAGGAAAAAAAAGGGCTGAGATTCTACAGGGAGAGTATCAGAAGCTAGGGAAAAAGCTAAAGAGTAGGAGCTCAAAGGTGGTGATCTCTGGATTACTCCCAGTGCCTCGTGCAAGTGAGTATCAAAACAGCAGATCAAACATATGAACGCATGGCTGGAGAAATGGTGCAGAAAGGAGGGTTTCACGTTCCTGGATCATTGGGACTAGTTCTGGGGCAGGTGGGACTGTACAAGGTGGTTGGGTTACACCTGAACAGGACTGGGAACAATGTCTCACAGGGAGGTAAACTAGTGCTGTGGGGAAGGGTTTAAACTAATTGAAGGGAGTCAGGATGTAGCATTGGAGAGAACAAGCAAGTTACGTAGAGGGCTCGGAGAGACGAATTGCAATGTAATAAAAAGTAATCCAGAAAGAAGGTTTAGTCGGGGGAGAAATGCAGAACAGACTAAGTTGGTCTTGGAGGTCATATGTGTAAATGCACGGAGTGTGATAAACAAGGTTGGTGAGCTGCGGCTCAAGTTGTCACATGGGGTTATGACGCAGTGGCAATAACGGAGACCTGGCTCAAACAGGGGCGGGAATGGGAGCTGAATATTCTTGGCTACAATGCATTCAGGAGGGATAGAGAAGGAAAAAAAGAAGGGAGGGCAATATTGATTAAAGACAAAAACAGAATCTATTTGGTTAAAGCTAAGGAGCAGAAAAGGAGTCGTTACTGCTAGGTATACACTACAGACCACCAAATAACAACAACTTGGATTTATATAGTACCCTCCATGCCGGACCCTATATAATTACAAATAGTGGGAAGGAAATAACTTGCAGATTTCAGACAGATGCAAAACCAATAGAGTAGCGATAATGGGGGAATTCAATTATCCTAACATAGACTGGCAAAATAACAGTGCAAAGGGCAAGGAGGGGGAAGAATTCCTGAAATGTGTGCAGGATAACTTTCTGGATCAGTATATTTCCAACCCAATGAGGAAGGAAGCAGTGCTGGATCTAGTTCTGGGGAATGAAGTGGGACAAGTTTCAGTAGGAGAGCTTCTGGACAACAGTGATCACAACATCACTAGTTTTAGAGTACTTATGGAAAGGGACAAGGAACAACAATCAAAGGTGAAGATACTCATCCAGAAGAGGCTAATTTCAGTGAGTTAAAAAGGGACCGAGTCAAGGTGGACTGGAAAGAAAGAAGCGAGGGTTATTCTCCTTGGAGCAGAGAAGGTTAAGAAGAAACTTAATAGAAGTTTTCAAAATTATGAGGGGATTCAATACGGTGAACAAGGAGACACTATTTCCACTGGCGGGTGGGTCGGTAACCCGAGGACACCGATTTTAAAATAGTTGTTAAACGAAACCGAGGGAAGTGGAGAATTTTTTTCACACAGCGAGTTGTTTGGATCTAGAATGCATTGCCTGAAAGGCTGGTGGAAGCTGATTCGATAACAGCTTTTAAGAGAGAACCAGATAATTATTTGGGGAGAATAATTATTTGCAGGGCTATGAGGAGAGAGGCGGGGCGTGGAATTGAATTAGATAGCTCTTTTCAAAGAGCCGGCAGAGACGCGATGGGCCGAATGGCCTCCTTCTGTGCTGTATAATTCTATATACACAGACAGTATCGAAGTACGAACAGTAAAAGAAAAATGAGGGAAAAGGAATTTCTTTGCTTGTCAATAGGTTTGTAATGGAGAGATGTCACTTACCCAGTATTCTGTTCAGCGAGTCTCTCATGTTTATATTGTGCAGCTGAGAGGCTGACAAGGAGCTACTCATCGATCGATCCCCTATGTGTTTCAGACAAAAACAATTCCCATTTTAACCTCATGACAAAGCTAGGCAGAGACAACAAGATGACAAGAATTGTGAATCCCCCTTTGTCGATCCCAGACAAATTAAAAGCTAAAAGTTCCAGTTTATAAATGTGCCAGGTTTTCAGCTCTTGCTGTTAAGTGATGCTGAGGTTGACTAGATTTATGTTAAATTGGAGATTATCCTTTAATCAGATTCATGTCCACTGTTCTCTGCTATTCTGTATACCCAGTGTCATATTTTAAATGTCTAAAGCTATTAAGTGTTTCACACTCAATTGAGTGTTTACTACACTCCTGGAATGAATATGCAGCTATCTGAAAATCCTTTCATTTCAGACAAAACTTCCTGTCACCAAGACAGCCTTAATGAGACGCTCCAATGAATGGTTCAATGAAACATGTTACACACAAGAGCACACAAAGCAATCCCCAAGTGACAATGGTATTAATACATCACACCACAAGACCAGAGCACGCACAGCCAGTGTGGAGGAAGATCTTCAGATGACTCAGCTGCTAACCTCTGGAATACTCTCCTTCTATCGTGCTCTCTTTAAATCGTGCCTTGAAATCCACTTCAACCAGGGCCACCACTCTCTTTCCCCACCCCTCCCTTACTCGGGGCCAGATCCTGTCATTGTAAAGCGCAATAACATGTACGTGAAGGGCACAGTGAAAAAGCAAGCTGTTATTGTCTGGCGAGCGGCTGGAGTAACAGCACTCACCCGGACTGCAGAGGATATTCGGATCCTCTTCGTTTGAGCTCAATAAACGCAAGAGTTTTGATGGCTGACTGTCATCCAATGGGAAGAGGTTGATGTAGTCCTATTGGAATAGAAACCCAGCAAACTCTTAACAATCAATCACATAATTTCCTGAACGCAAATCAGGTGTAAATACTTTAAATGATCTGAAGTGGAAATGTTAGACGGCACCCGCGTGAAGGTGCTATATAAATACAAGTTGTCATTGTTTGTTCCTCAGTGAAGAGATGCCTGGGTGAAGGCACAATACAACAACAACATGGATTTATATAGCGCACTCCACGCCGGGTGGTATCTCAGAGCACAATACTATGTTTAGTACCTGACGTTTCTGATTATTGGGATTTTGAGATTCCTCCCCTAACTGCTCCACACTCCCATCAATTCTTTCTTTATTATATTCTCCCCCCAATCAACTTAGTTTTCCTTCTCCCAGGATGAACTTGCTTGGGTGCCAGATGCCTTTTGATACCCGATGAGAATGGAGGTTATTCACTGTGAGCTTCACAGCTGAGCCCAATCTTTTCCTATGTGGGGTCTGTGTATGCACAAACCTTCCACCAGGTGACTCACGAGAGCCATCACTGGTTGGAATTGTGGTTAACTCAATACAAATTGACATTCATACAGCACTTTTCACGTCAGCAAAAAAAAATCAGGGTCCAATCTTCAACAAAATAATAATATTCCTTGCGTTTGATACAGTGCCTTTCCTGTCAGGAGAACATGTCAAAGCACTTCACAGGCTTTACTGTAAAGTTTTCAAGCTCTGTGTTCCGAATAAACTTAAAGCTGAGTTATATTTTGTATACAGTACCAAATCCAGGTGGATCCACAGTATTCCAGGGCACTGCTGATAACAGCACAGCCTGGCTCATTGGTGGGAATGGCGGACCAGTGACTGGGGGGGGGGCGCAAGGACTTTTCCCACTCAGCTCCCGTTAACCCTGCAAGCCTCACCCTAACGGGTTCTAGGTGGACAAGCAACAACAACCACCACCATTTATTATAGAGCTCTTCATGCGAGGCAGCTTCCTGGAGCACTTCACAACGGAGTCGGTCAACGAGCCAGGGGGGAGGGAGGTGACCGTAAGCACACTCAAAAAGGGAGGTCTTTAGGGGGGATTTGAAGGTGGGGAGAGAGGGAGCAAGGCAGAGGGAAGCAGCAGGAAGCTTTCCAGACAGTGTCGCCAATAGCAAGCTTCTGTTCCATATGCAGGAGGGATGAATGGAACTCTTGGTTTGGATATTTGTAAGTACGGTGATGGGTTTCCCCATGGGTCAGACAGCTGGCTGACTGGAAAAAATAGCGCCAGGCTGAACAAGCATCGAACATCACATCTATGCACAGATTTCAGCATCAGAACAAGGTGTCACTACACATCCAACGTGTGACTTTCACTGGTTACCAGACATGGTTTTACACACACACACAATCACTAGAATATGAAAAGCTGTTAAATTGAAAAGCACAAATACACAAACATACATAGAATACAAATTATCCCATTTCGTAAGAACAAATTCAAATACAGCAACAAATTACATTCACACAACACCCTTGACGAAGGATAATGTCTTGGAGTGGTCCCGAGCAAGGGAGAAGGGGAGGGGACCAGAGGTTCAGTCAAACAGATAAGTTTTAAGATGGTATTTAAAGACAAATGGAGAGGGGATGAGATGGTAGAGGCAGGATTCCAGAAATTGGGATTGTTGGGGCTAAAGGCACGGCCACTGATGGTACCAATACACACAGCAGACCTAAGTTAGCTGAGGAGTCACTTGCCATCTTATTTTCTGTTAACATTAATAGAAGTGGAACCAGAAACCTGTTGCTGAAACCCACATTGAAATGTAACGCTCTCACCTCAATGTCCTCCCGGTGTCTTTTCCTCTGTTTCGCCGTCACCTGACTCTTGTTATGAGACGAATAAGAGCTCAGAGCACACCAGACTGAAAGCCTGCATTAACCGAGATAATAGGAAGTCAACGGATGACATGATAAGGCGCTGTATCAAATGCAAAGATTATTACAACAACAAAATCACATTGTATTTGTAAAGAGCCTTTCAGATCGGGAGGATGTCCCAAGGCGCTGGACAGTCAGTGTTTCGGACCCGAGCTGGGGTCGGGATTGGGGAGGATGGAGGGCAGCAAGAGAAGCAGGGTGATTGAAAGCATGGTCGAAGAGGAGGGTCTTGAGGTGGGTCTTGGAGGTGGCAAGGGAGGGGCAGAGTCTGAAGGCCCGCCAATAAAGGGGAGGGCGAGACGGGGGACGTGAAGCAGGCCGGAGCCCACTGAGTGGAGGGAATGAGCAGGATGGTAGGGGATTAGGAAGTCACAGAGGTAGGGGGGGGGAGCAAGACCATGGAAGGCTTTGAAGGTGAGGACCAGGATCTTGAACTGTGTGATGGGAAGCCGGTAGAGTCAGGCGAGGATGGGTGATAGGGTCACGGAGCCTGGTGCGGGAGAAGACATGGGCTGCGGAGTTCTGGATGATCTGCAGCCTTCGGAGGGAGGAGTCGGGGAGGCCGACAAACAGGGAGTTTGCACAGCCAAGCCTCGATGTAATGAATGTGTGCTTTAGGGCTTTCGGCGGCCTGCAGTGTCAAGACAGTGGCGGTGCCGGGCGATACGCAGAGGTGGGGGAAGGCAGAGCAGGTCATGGCACAGATGTGGGGTAGAAAGGATACAGGGTCAAACAAGATGCCAAGGTTCTGGACTGGCTCTGTGAGGTGGGGTGAGTAACTATGGATGGTGATATTGTCAATGCATGAGGTGAGGAGGTGCTGACTGGAGCCAATCAGGAGGGCCTCGGTCTTGTTGACGTTCGACTGAAGAAAGTTAGCTCTCATCCAGGACTTGATGTCTGACAGAGTCAAGGGTGGAGGCAGCGAGGTACAGCTTGGTGCCATCCGCAATCATGTGTAAGTTGATTCACTGTCTGCGGATGATGTCACCAAGAGGGCGCATATAGATATTGAAGAGGAGGGGACCAAGGACAGAGCCCTGAGGAACACTGCATGAGACGGTGCGGGGGCTAGAGAAGAAACTGTTTGTGGAAATGAAGTGCTGTGAGAGGTACGATATGAACCATTCAAGGACAGAACCATGAAAGTTGAGGTGAGAGGAGAGATGGTGGATGAGGATAGAGTGGTCGATGATGTTGAAGGCAGCAGAGAGGTCAAGGAGGTAGAGGGAACCCTGGTCGTAGATGGACAGAATGTCATTTGTCACTTTGACCAGAACTGCTTCTGTGCTGTGGGCGGCACGGAAACCCGATTGGAGGGGTTCGTGAAGGGAGTGGCGGGAGAGGAAGGAGCGAAGTTGGGAAGCAACAACTTGTTCCAGGACCTTGGAGAGGAAAGAGAGGCTGGAGATGGGGCGGTAGTTTGAGAGCAAGGATGGGTCCAGGGAGGATTTTTTAAGGATAGGAGTGATGACAGTTGTTTTTAATGGGATGAGAGCAATACCAGTGGATAGGGAAAGGTTTATGATGTCTGTGAGTAGAGGGGCAAGGAGTTGGAGCTGGGAGGTAAGGAGAGGGTTAGGGATAGGGTCGATGGAGCAGGTGGTTGGTTTCATTATTATATTATTATACAAATACGTTATACGTTTCACCCACAAATATACAATCAATTCAGTTTACAGTTTATTCTGTGAAGCGCTTTGAGACGTCTAGAAGACGTGAAAGGCTCTATATCAAATGCAAGGATTATTATTATTATAATATTATTATCCAAGACAAATTTAAATTTCTGTAGCACCTTTCACGTTGGGAGAATATCCCACGACACTGAACAGGGCACCCGAGCTGAGGGTGGGAGCCGAGGCGGTGGGGGACAGGAAGGCGAAGATGACTGTAAGCGCGGACAAAGAGGTAGGTCTCGAGACGGATCTTGAAAGAGGGGAGGGAGGGAGTGGGATTATTGTAAATGATATTACTGGTGTTTAATAATAACAATTCTCTTTACTTGGCAAGAGCTCTTCCAGGCGGGTCCATCAGCAACTGCCACTTCAAGCAGTTGGTCAGCAGTGAAGGCAGGATGTGACCCAGCAGACTGAGCGTGATCTGCTGCATGTCCAAACAAAACACACTGTGCAGCAGCTCCACGGCCTTGTAACAGTGCTCCTTCCTCGTCTCCTTCAGCAGCTCCTGGAGGTGACAACAATAACCGTCAGGAGGCCAGAGGCTCAGAGCCGGCTGGAAGGTACAGAAGGCCTCAAATTACAATAATATCCTAGTGCAAAAAAAGCCTCTCTAGAATACCTTAACCAGGTTATTGCAGAACCAGTACACGCCTCCCATGTGTAGCAGGGCCTCAAACACGTGGATGGAGCGGCTGTCCACCCAGCCTTTCACCAGGGTGTCGTTGAAGGTGGAGACGAGCACCTCCTTTATTGGCTGCTTCACGGGCAGCAGGTTGCGGTAGGGGATGGGGTCCAGGTTGGCTGAAGAAAACTTGATAGAGGTCGCCGTCTGCTGCAGGACGTCAGCACACATCTGCTCCAGTATCAAGTTCATGATAACCACACTGGGAATTAGACAAGACAGCGCACGTTACAGGGAAACTTATTTCCACACGCCTGAAAATAATCCCTCAAGAAAAACAAAACAATAATAAATTGGTCACTTCAATCCACGACATCCAATCCAATTCAATGAACTGCTGTGCGTAATTGGCTGCCGCGTTTTGCCCACAAATATACAGTCAATTCGCTTCACAGCATATTCTGTGAAGCGCTTCGAGACGTCTAGAAGACGTGAAAAGCGCTATGTCAAAGGCAAGGATTATTATTATTTTATAAAAGAACTACTGTGGAAATAAGACATACAGGAGTGAATAATAAGTATTGTGGACAGAACATCACAAGAGTGAATGCTAGATATCTATAAAGGAGTCAGTCAGAGTTGTGTGGGATGTGGGGAAAGGGCAGGTAAATTGGACTGAAAGGATTGCTCTTTAAAAGAACCATCACAGATATAACAACAACAACTTGCATTTACACAGCACCCATCACGGAGGGTAGCGTCCCAGAGCACTTGACAATGGCGGGAGCATGATGCCGAGCCGGGGTAGGGGGGAGATGACTCTAGGCACGGTCGAATAGGAAGATCTTTAGGTGCTACCTGAAAATGGGGAAGGAAGGGCAAGATGGAGGGATACAGGAAGAGTGTTCCAGAGTTTCGGGGTGTAGTGGCTGAAAGTGCAGGTGGAACGGACATGCAGAAGGCCGGAGCCAGTCGAGTGGAGGCAGGTTATGGGCTGTGGGGTAAGCAGGTGGGTGAGGTAAGGAGGTGCCAGGGCATGAAGGGATTTAAAAATGAGTGTGAGGATCTTGAAATCGACCTGTTCGCTGATGGGGAGCCAGCGGAGCTCGGCTAGAACTGGTGTGATGGGGGTACGGAGTTTAGTGCGGATGAGTACGGGGGCAGCGGAGTTTTGGATCAGTTTGATCCTGTGCATGGGGAACTGGGGAAACCAGCAAAGAGGGCATTCGAGAAGTCCAGTTGGGAGGCGAGAAAAACATGGATGAGTGTTTTGGCTGCGTCCGGGCTACGGTGCAGTCAGAGGCAGGCAATGTGGTGGAGGTGGATGAAGGCGGTCCTGGTCACGGACTGGATGTGGGGAAGGAAGGACAGCTGTGGGTCGAACCTGACACCTAGATTACACATTCGTTCAGTAAGTCTCAGGGATAGGCTGGGGAGATTGAGGAGCTCAGAGCCGCATGATAAAAGATGTTAACGGCAACCAATGAGTATGGCTTCTGTCTTGTCAACATTGAGTTAAAGGAAATTTTTGCTCGTCCAGGCCTTGATGTCCGCCAGACAAGCTGAGAGAACATCGAGAGACCTGGAGTCACAGCTGGAGGAGAAGTAGATTTGTGTGTCAAGCTCTATATTAAATGCAAGGATTATTATTATTATTACTACTTGTGGAAATTTACCCCATGTCTGCGGATGGCATCGCCAAGAGGGAGCACATAGATGAGGAAGAAGAGATGGCCACGGATGGAGCCCTGGGGTACACCACAGGTGACTGGGCAGGGCGGGAGGAGAAACCGTTTGAGGAGATAAAGTGAAGGCGATTTGTTAGGTAAGACTTGAACCACGCTAGTGCAGTCCCACTGAGGTGGATGAGGGAAGAGAGGTGGTGGGTGAGGATGGCATGGTCGACTGTGTCAATCGTGGCGGAGAGTTCCAGGAGGCAGAAGGAACCCTGGTCACATGGAGAGAGGACATCATTTGTGACCTTGACAAGCGCTGCCTCTGTGCTGTGGGGAGACTGGTGGGACTCAGGAGGGAGTGGTGAGAACAAAACTGGAAGCAACAATGCATTCCAGAGCTTTGGCAAAGGAAGGGCAGCTTGGAAATTGGTCGGTAATTTGTGAGGTTATTGCATATGGGCTGAATAAACTTCTTCTGTGCTGTAAATTTCTAAGGACCTACCGTTCTGTGGTTATGACATTGTAGGTACGAGAGTGAATGTTATGGATAACTACTGTAGAAATAGACAGACATTGAAAGTTACAGCAATAACTTCTTTTGGAAAGAGTGAATGTTACGTTCAGTTCAGCTACATGAAACCTAAGTGACACCCGAGAAGATACCATTTAATAATAATCCTTGCATTTGATATACCGCTTTTCACGTCTTCTCGACGTCTCAAAGCGTTCACAGTATATACTGTAAAGTGAATTGACTGTATATTTGTGGGCGAAACGTGGCAGCCAATTGCGCACAGCAGCGTCCCCACAAACAGTCGTGGATTGAAAATGACCAATTTACTATTTTTTTTTGGAGGGATTATTATTAGGCGTGTGGAGTAAGGAAACTTGCCCAAGGTTTCGCCCTGCCTGGAAATTTTATTGCAGTATCAGTTTGTCGCACTTTGAGACAAGTGGTGGTATTGGGGAGGAGATGGAGGAGGGAATCGAGAGCAGTAAGCAAACATATGTAAGAAATCCAGGTGGTAAATGTAGCAAACCACTCGGATGGTTAATTTGGGTTGATCCCGGCTGAAAGGCGAGGTGGGGTGTTCTGCTCACCGTTCATTGTAGAACTGAAGTGTGTTCTCGGCATACAGTGGCGTCACCAGCTGGCTGATCATCTGTAGCGGCTTCTCACGCTCCTCAAGGCCCAACATCCTGACGTGGGCAACCAGCCAGGCCACAGCACAGATTGCCATGCTGCAGATCTTTCCCTTGATGTTATCTGTGATTTTCTGGCACAGATTAAAAAAAAAGTAAACGTGGGAATCTTCTTTCCACATTGTGCAACACTGTCTGGAGCCGTGAAGACCACCTGATCTGGTTATTACAATTTACATTGTGCCATTCGCATCGGGAGGACATTGCAACACTTTACACAGCTGACTGGGCACCTGAGCTGATGGGGAGTGGGGGGGAGGGGGGACACGAGAAAAAAAAATTGGTCACTCAATCCACACCTGTTTTTGGGACACTGCTGTGCGCAATTGGCATCTGTGTTTCGTCCACAAAATGCAGAAGATAATCAAATAGAATATAGAAAGTACAGAGGAGAAATTAAAAAGGAAATAAGAGGGGCAAAGAGATTGTATCAAAAAAGATTAGCGGGTAACGTAAAAGGGAACACTAAGGCATTTTATAAGCATATAAAGAATAAAAGGTTAGTCAAAGGTAGGGTGGGTCCAATTAGGGACCAAAGGGGAAATCTTCTTGTGGAGGCAGAGGGCGCGGCTGACGTACTGACTGAGTACTTTGCATCTGTCTTCACAAAAGAAGAGGATGCAGCCAATGCCACAGTATCGGAGGAGAGGGGAAAGAAATTGGATAAGATAAGAATAAACAGAGAAGAGGTACTAAAAAAGGTTATCGGTGCTCAAGGCAGATAGGTCAACCGGTCTGGACCGGATGCCTCCTAGGTTACTGAGGGAAGTAAGGGTGGAAATAACGGAGGCTCTGGCCACGATCTTTCAATCTTCCTTGGACACCGGGGTGGTGCCAGGGGACTGGAGGGTTGCAAATATTACTCCCCTGTACAAAAAGGGGCAGAAGGATAAACCTGGGAACTACAGGCCAGTCAGCCTCACGTCAGTAGTGGGGACACTTCTAGTGACTATAATCCGGGACAAAATAAATTTTCACTTAGAAAAATATGGGTTAATAAAGGACAGCCAACATGGGTTTGTTAAAGGCAAATCTAACAAACCTGATAGAGTTTTTTGATGAAGTAACGGAGAGGGTGGATGAAGGTAGTGCAGCTGATGCAGTTTACATGGATTTTCAAAAGGTGTTTGATAAAGTGCCACATAAAAGACTTGTAAGCAAAATAGAAGCTCATGGTATTAAGGAACAGTGGCAGCGGATACAGAACTGGCTGGGAGACAGAAAGTATTGAGTGGTGGTGAATGGTTGTTTTTCTGACCGGCCAGAAGTGTGCAGTGGTGTCCCTCAGGGGTTAGTATTGGGACCACTGCTGTTTTTGATCTATATAAATGACCTGGATTGGGTATAGGGAGTACAATTGACAAGTTTGCAGATGATACTAAGCTGGAAAAGTAGTAAACAGTGAGGAGGATAGTGGCAAATGGACATAGACAGACTGGTAAAATGGGCAGACACATGGCAGATGAAGTTTAATGCAAAGTGATGCATTTTGAGAAGAGGCAATATAAGCTGATGGTACAATCTTAAAGGGTGTGAAGGAACAGAGAGACCTGGGGGTTCATATAGGTAAATCTTTGAAGATGGCAGGACAGGTAGAAAAAGCTGTTAAAAAAGCCTACGGGATACTGGGCTTTATAAATAGGGGCATTGAATACAAGTCAGGAAGTTATGATGAACCTTTATAAAATACTGGTTAGGCCTCAGCGAGAGACTGTGTTCAGTTCTGGGCACCACACTTGAGGAAGAATGTCAAGGCATTGGAGAGAGTGCAAAGGAGATTGACCAGGATGGTACCAGGAATGAGGGACTTCAGTTATCAGGAGAGGCGAGAGACGCCGGGATTATTCTCCTTGGAGCAGAGAAGGTTAAGAGGAGACTTAATAGAAGTTTTCAAAATTATGAGGGGATTCGATAGGGTGAACAAGGAGAAACTATTTCCACTGGCGGGTGGGTCGGTAACCCGAGGACACCAATTTAAAATAGTTGTTAAAAGAAAGAGGGAAGGTGAGGAGAAATTTTTTCACACAGCAAGTTGTTCGTATCTGGAATGCATTACCTGAAAGGGTGGTGGAAGCTGATTCGATAACAACTTTCAAGAGAGAAGTAGATAATTATTTGGGGAGAACAAGTTTGCAGGACTATGGGGAGAGAGCGGGAGAGTGGGACTGAATTGGATAACTCTTATCAAAGAGCCGGCAACAGACACGATGGGCCGAATGGCCTCCTTCTGTGCTGTATAATTCTGATTCTATGAACCTATGATCACACACAACCACACAGCGATGCCATGTAGGAGCAGTACCTGAACAGCCTCGAAGGTTAGCAGCCCGTGCTCCCAGGCATTGAGCACCTCCAGGATAGCAGCTGGCGTGCACGAACACACCTCGTGCCATTTCACCTGACTAGGAGACAAAAAAAAAGGGAATGTGCGTAAATCTGGGGAACAACTTACATTTAAGTTGGAAGTTAAGCACCCTTCACGCAGGATAGCATCTCGGAGCGCTACTCAATCAGAAGTCCCACAGCAAACAGTGAGTCTGAACAAAATTTTTTAAAATTTGGTTTTGATACAGGCACCTTTCACGTCATTAAGACGTCTCAATGTACTTCACAGAACACAATGTAACGTATAGTGACTCCATTTTGAAGGGGGAACGAGGAGGCAATTTGCACACAACATCCCGCAAATAGCAATGAAGTGAACGCCAAATTTTATCTGGGGGATTGTCAACCAACAACAGCAACTTGCCCTTATCCTCCATGCAGGGTAGCGTCTCAAGAGCACATAAAGCCAGGACATCAGGAGAGAGAGAGAGAAACTCCTTTCTCTTTCCAAGTAGCGTTACAGGATCTTTAACTTCCACCCAAACAGGGGCACAGACAGGGCCTCAATTTAACGTCGCATCCAAGCGACGGGCCCTCCAACATTGCAGCGCTCCCCCAGCATTGCACAGGAGTCAGCTTCGTCTGTGGGGGCTTTGAACCCAGAACCTTCTGACTTCCAGACGTGAGCACGAGTGACTGACTGAGCCAGACTGACAAGAATAGAACAAGGACAGATAAAGAGAGAACGGCTTCCTACGCAAGCTTCATTTCAGTGGAGGAGTTGAGATGAGCGACCAGCGACTCCACTTTGGTAGGATCAGCTCGGAATCCCTGCTCCGGGTTTAAGATCTTCCCTTCCTCAGGCATGCAGGTCTGCATCCACGTCTCAAAGAACACAACCTCCCCCGAGACACCGGGCTCCGACAGAATCACCTACAACAGGAACACAGCCATAACTCACTCGCTTTCCCTGGGACACCAGTAACAGACCGCTGCAGTAACTAAGAGGTTGAAGCACAGACTACGATGAGGCAGAAATCCTCACGGTAAAAAGATGCTGGCGCACACTGGGGCAAGTTTCAGTAATGTAATGAGACTCTGTGATGGGAGAGCCAGAGTTAATGTGTTGGGGGGTGTGATCTGAGAAGCAGATCAGTCGCTGGGGGCTGGTAGTCCTCCTACTGTTAAACCTGCAAACCTTTTAAGTGCTCTGGGACATTACCCTGCATGAGGGGTGCTATATAAATGTAAGTTGTTGTTATAATAATAATAAACCTTGCATTTGACATTGCATCTTACCATATCAGTGAGATGTTTTAAAGTGCTTGACAGGATATCCTGTAATGTGGTGCGACTGTGTATTTTGTGGGCAAACACGAAAGCCATTTTGCACAAAGCAAAAAAAGATGGGCTGGGGGGTGGGGTTAAGATGACCCAAAACACTCACCAAACATCACAGATCCAATAAATGCACCAGCTCTGGCTTTCCCATCACTGTGTCATATTACAGTGCACACCACCCCCAGGGTCATTGCCTTACTTGAGATTTATTGCAAGCAGCTATCAATATTTGAGCAAGTAAATACACATTGTGCATAAATGCTACTCCTATATTCCAACAGCACAGACAGATAAGGGAGATCATTGGACCAATAGCTCTAACTCAACTCATCCAGAACTCTGCAGCCCGTGTCCTCTCCGGCATCAGGCTCCGTGACCCTATCACCCCCATCCTCGCCCAACTCCACTGACTGACTTCCCATCACACAGAGGATACAGTTCAAGATCCTGTCCTCCCTTTCAAAGCCAACAGGCTATTTATAGTGTTCTCTGTTACAAAGTCAAGAGTCAACCATTTGATACTACAGTGAAATCCAAGTCAGTTTGGCACTGATTTCAGAAGCCTTTTTAAAGAGATTGTTTCCTAACACAATTTCAGGTCTCAGTAAATTAATGGTTCATTCTTCACTCTCCTTGCTTTCTATGCCAGGTATTATTTCTGGACACACAGGGCACTTGGCAAACACTACTTTGCAGATGGCCGGTGGGACAGTGTGTCCAAGCAGTCCTGAGTGAGTTGTCCTCACAGTTTGGGAACCCCCTCGCCAGTGCTGGCTAACTCCCTGATGGGAAGCCCGAGACCATTGTGTTGGTGTATCCTGGATTGAAAGGGGGGGGCGGGGGGGAGGAAGAGAGAGCTTCTTGATTTGTGGAGTCCTGCAGCTGAGTGGTTAGAGCTTCACTCAGAGGACCTGGACTTGCTTCACGGGCAGCGAAAACGTTGGGCAAGTTTCCTTACTCCACAGGCCTCTGTTAACCTAGCAGTAAGTAGGAACCCAGTTGTCAATCGATTGGAGGATCTCTTGGATTATTGGGGTATTCCAGTAATTGAAGGTAACCCTTCAAAAAATTAAAAATAATTTAAAAACTAATACGGTCACTCAATCCACGACTGTTTGTGGGACGCTGCTGTGCGCAACTGGCTGCTGCGTTTCGCCCACAAAATATGCAGTCAATTCACTTTACAGTATATTTGGTGAAGGGCTTTTAGACGTCTCGAAGACATGATAAGAGGTATATCAAATGCAAGGATTATTATTATTATTATATATTATGGCTCACCGACAGGAATCTTGCAAACAAAAAAGGATCCTAAGTCCTCTGTGGTGGTGTTAGGATCTAAGCTGCTCTATCTTTGAACCGTGCCGAGACGTTACCCTATGTGAATGACATTAAATAAACATTGGTGCCCTTCACAACTTGTTATAGTTGCTGAGTGTAAACCGAGGGAAATCAATGTACATTTTCCGACGACATCACCTGTAGTTTTATACAAAAATCTACAAGGTCAGGCTGCACTTACATCCGACCCATAGGTCTGAGCCACATGACACAGCATGAGGAAGGAGATGTCAAACAGCAGGGCTCGGACTGACGCTACCTTTGCTAGAAACAAAGAAAGGGAATTCAAACAAAGAGAAACAGCAAAGATATAATAATAATAATAATAATCCTTGCATTTGATATAGCGCTTTTCACGTCGGGAGGACGTCCCAAAGCGCTTCACAGAACACACTGTAAAGTGAATCGACTGTATATTTGTGGGCGAACGCGGCAGCCAATTGCGCACAGCAATGTCCCACAAACAGTCGTAGATTGAAAATGACCAATTTAATTATTGTTTTTGTTTTTTTGGAGGGATTATTATTAGGCTCTGTGTGGAGTAAGGAAACTTGCCCAAGGTTTCGCCCTCTGCCTGGAATTGAACTCAGGTCTCTCACTTGCAAAGCGAGTGCTCTAACCACTGAGCTACAGGACTCCACAATATAAAACAAATTGAGAGACAAGTCCCTCGACACTCTTACGCCAGTTACATCGAGTACTTGTTTCACATCAAACTGCTGAGCACTTCCAGGTGGCAAGTGATGTAGATTATTGGTATCTGACAAACTATACAGACTGAGTACACTCAGTTCCAATGAGTATGTTCACCTGTGATTAGGGTACTTAGATAACGCTCATGAAAATGTAATATGCAGCTGCAGAAGCAGCCTCCATTAGTCAACATAATGGGAGTGTAACAGTTTCAATCCACGCTGGAGGAAGGTCAGAAATAACCATAGTTCAATCAGAGTGAAGCAGATTCAATCAGAGTCCTTTTCTTGGGAATTTTTAGCACATCATTCCTTCCTCTCACTGTAGATGAAAGCTGTACCTGGTGGTGTGATACTGGGTCAGAAAGATTAAGGAGCTCTCTCCCTATTCAATCTAGGATACACCACGACAATAGAACAAGAGGACATAGGTTTAGACTTGTAAAGGGCAATTTCAGGACAGACACCAGGAAGTTTTTCTTTACACACGCTTTTCTTAAATGACTGGAACAGGGGGCCAGGAAGTGGGGTAGAGGCCAGGGCACTGGGACTTGTTTTAAAAGCAGCTCGATGCTGTGATGGGATGGCAGGGTGGGGTAGTATGGAGGGATGAGATTGGATAGGCTGAAGGGCCTACTTCATCTAAACCGATCGTGTGAATCTAATCTGTGATAATAATTATTAAAGAGTTTAAGTGCATTGACTGTAAGACTATCAGAACATGTCATATTTATACTTACACCCTTCACCACTGATGTGCTTGGCAAACTCATTTAACCTAAAGGAAAAGAGGGGAAAAGTTATTTTATTGTAGTGTTTTGATGAAGGTGAAGAGGAATGGGAATGGATTTGGGTTCCCCCCGCCACACTTTAACCAAACTGACCAGGCTTTTGGTCATCTGACCCCCTCCCACACTGTGCTACCCCGTGTGAAGGGCGCTATATAAATGCAGATAAACACTAAAACCCAGGCTAGCTGGACCAATGGGTGGGGGAGGGGGGTGAGAACCGGTTCAGCGAGCCAGAATTTCCGGCTAAGTGCAATTACAATGCCGGTAGCAGCATTTACCAGCTGTTTTCGGTGCCGAAAAGATATAAATAAGCTAATCTTTTGCTCGTGAAATTCAAACTGAGTCAAAGTTGATTCTTTCAGCATTCGTTCAGATCACCGCCCTGTTCACACCGATTGAGCTGTGAACACTTCCAGTGTTCCGGCATAGCTTCAGATTTCCGTCAACTGCAGTTTTCCTTTTTATCATTTAACAACAAAAATATCTGTGTGAAGATTGTGATGATAATAATAATCTTTGCATTTGGTATAGCACTTTATCACGTCATCGAGGCGTCTCAAAGCGCTTATACTGTAAAGCAGTTTGCACACAGTAATGTCCCACAAACAGCCATGTAATGAGTGACTATTTTTTTTATTTTGGAGATTGTTGGCCAGAACACTGGGAGAAACTCCCTTCTCCTTTTCAATAGTGTGGAGTCCTATAGCTTAGTGGTTGGAGCACTCGCCTCGCAAGCTAGACCTGCGTTCGATTGGTGGGCAGGAAGATGTGGGATTCAGTGCCTTGGGACGTCCTCCTGACGTGAAAGGTGGTATACAAATGTAATTTGTTAATTTGTTGTTGCTGGGAAGTTTCCTTACCCCACACATCTGTTTACCTAGCAGTAAGTAGGAAACCGGTTGTTAGTCAATTGGAGGATTGCTTTTCCGGACGTAATAATCCCCTGAATCCACGACTGTTTGTGGGACACTGCTCTGCGCAATCGGCTGTCGCATTTCGCCCACAAAAAAAGTCAATTCGCTTTACAGTAAATTCTGTGAAGTGCTTTGAGACGTCTCGAAGACGTGATAAGCCGCTATATCAGATGCAAGCATTATTATCATTATAGTGTATTGGGATCTCTAACGTCCATCTGAATAGGCAGACGAGATCTTGATTTATTTTAACGTCTCACCCGAATAACGACACCTCTGACAATACAACACCCACCCTGCACTGCACTGCAGCGTCAGCCTAGATTATAGGTTACAAGTCTCACCATGGGGCCCATAGTACCATTTACAGACTCTCAATAATAACTGTTCAGATCAGCTCTAAACCACTGCATCCCCACCTTATCTCCATCAACGCGACTTGTGAAGGTGACTCAGCAAGGCCACAGGAAGAGACCTGGCTCACACTGTGCACTTACTTGACAAACTTCCTGGCGAATGATTTCAGTTTGCCGGTGGCCGCAGCGGCTGCCAGGAGTAAATCCAGGCTCTTCCCCGAGAGCATGTGGCCCAGGACCCCCAGGAGTCCCTCCGGCGATTTGGAGTGATCAGCATCCATGGTCTGTTCGGGGTTTCAGAGAGAGAGAGAGAGAGAGAGAGAGAATGTGAGCGAGAGCAAAAGAGATAGAGAGAAAGTAAGAGAGATAGGAAACTGTTCTGAAGGTAAAGTAAAAACCTTCTCTCACATTTTTACTCAGTGATCAGATTTCACTGACTGGTGTCCAGCGGTTCTTCCACCCACACCCTCTCTCTCGACGCATGTGTCCCCCCACCCCCATTGAAAACCACTCAACTCCATTCAGAATGGAGTGTCATTACTCGGGATTCGTCGAACACAACCAGCCAGAGAAATGTACCTTTAGGATATTCGTGACCGTGGGTTCTGCACGTAGGATCAGGCCTGGGTTGGGTTGAATGTTGGCGTTTTCAGCAGATTTTAACCGTGGAGCCAGCTCCCTGTCTGCTGTCCTGTGGCATTAAGAGGAACTAATACAATACGATATTTCACTTGTATAGCACCTTTCAAGTTGGGAGGACGTCCCAAGCTGGGTGGGGGGGGGGTGGGTGTGGTGGAGGCTGGGATCATGGAGGGTGGAGGTGCCGAAGGTATGGTTGAAGAGGAGGATCTTGAGACGTGCCTTGAAGGAGGCAAGGGAGGGAGCGAGGCGAGAATGTGGGATGGAGTTCCAAAGGGGTGGGGGCAGAGAGGTTGAATGTAGGGCGGGCTGGGGGTGTGGAGCAGGCCGGAGCCTGCTGTGCAGAGGGAGAGGACAGGTTGATGTGAGTAGATAATGTCGGAAGACAAAGGCAGACAGCGGAGGGTTAGGCACTGTCAATCGATGGATAAGTCGCTCTTGGACTATTCAATACCTTCAAAACTACCTGCAATATTATTGACAGAGGAGCAGGGAACAAAACCAAATTCCAATAAAACTCAAGTCAATTGACCAGCTTGTTGACCCAGCTCTCAGGGCACAACACGGATCATCAGTACAAAACAAAGGCAGTGTCAGTACAAGGCAACCTACTTTTACACTACTATAACAATAATAATTGAATTTATATGCGCTTTTCACATCTTCTAGACGTCTCAAAGCGCTTCTATGTACACTCTAAAGTGAACTGACTGTATATTTGTGGGTGAAACATGGCAGCCAATTGCGCACAGCAGTGTCCCACAAAACAGTCATGGATTGAATAACCAATTTATCATTTTTTTCTCTCAAGGGATTATAATCAGGCGTGTGGAGTAAGGAAACTTGCCCAAGGTTTTGCTCCGCCGGGAATTGAACCCAGGTCTCTCTCGCTTGCGAGGCGAGTGCTCTAACCACTGAGCTACAAGACTCCTGCAATCCAATAATAATAATGCTTGTATTAGATACACTGCCACGATGAGGAGGTGGTTGTTCTGATTGAGCCACTGCAGTAGGAACCAAGCGTAGCACTAGGTTACAATGATAATACTTAAGATTTTGATTTGGTCTCTTACACGTCCCTATGACTGTATTTTATTGGTGAGCTCAGTAGCAAATTTGAGCACAGCAACGTCCCACAAACATAAACTGAATGCTGGATTTTACGTGTGGGAATATTGGCCAATACAGGCTGCTTTTCTACCACAAGGTGGCACTGAGCAAATACGCTGAGATCTTAGTGAAATCCTATTCGGCTGTTCTCACAAGACTGGTTGACATAAGATTCTATCTAATATCATCCCTCCAGCAGTGGCATTGAATGAGCACCTTGCTCAGAGTTGGTGCAGACTCAATAACCTCCTTCTGTGCCATAAAGGACAGTCAACATGGAATTGTTAAAGGCAAATCGTGTCTGCCTGATAGTGTCTTTTGATCAAGTAACGGAGAGGGTGGATGAAGGTAGTGCAGTTGATGTAGTTCATATGGATTTTCAAAAGGTGTTTGATAAAGTGCCACATAAGAGAATTGTAAGCAAAATACAAGTCCGTGGTATTAAAGGGACAGTAGCAGCGGATACAGAACTGGCTGGGAAACAGAAAGCAGAGAGTCGTGAGCAGTTGTTTTTCTGACTGGAGGGAAGTGTGCAGTGGTGTCCCCCAAGGGTCAGTATTGGGACCACTGGGGGTATTGCTCTTTTTGATCTAGATAAATGACCTGGACTTGGGTATAGGGAGTGCAATAGGGAGGAGGACAGTAGCCGACTGGAAGAGGATATAAATATGTGGCAGATGAAGTTTAATGTGGAGAAATATGATGCATTTTGGGAGGAAGAATGAGGAGAGGCAATATATGCTGATGGTACAAATTTAAAAGGGGTGAAGGAACAAAGAAACCTGGGGGTTCATATAAGTAAATCTTTGAAGGTGTTAGTACAGGTGGATAACACAGTTTAAAAAAAGCATATGGGATACTAGGCTTTATAAATAGAGGCATAGAATACACAAGTCAGGAAGTTATGATGAACCTTTATAAGACACTGGTGTGGCCTCAGCGAGAGACTGTGTTCAGTTCTGGGCACCACACTTCAGGAAGGATGTCAAGGCATTGGAGAGAGTGCAAAGGAGATTGACCAGGATGGTACCAGGAATGAGGGACTTCAGTTATCAGGAGAGGCGAGAGACGCTGGGATTATTCTCCTTGGGACAGAGAAGGTTAAGAGGAGACTTAGAAGTTTACAAATTTATGAGGGTTTTCAATAGGGTGAACAAGGAGAAACTATTTCCACTGGTGGGTGGGTCGGTAACCTGAGGACTCCAACTTAAAATAGCTGTTAAAAGAAACAGAGGAGAGGTGAGGAGAATTTTTTTCACACAGCGAGTTGTTTGGATCTTGAATGCATTGCCTCAAAGGATGGTAGAAGCTGATTCGATAACTTAAGAGAGAAGCAGATAATTATTTGGGGAGGACAAGTTTGCAGGGCTACGGGGAGAGATCAGGGGAGTGGGATTGATTTGGATAGCTCTTTTCAAAGAGCGGGCACAGACATGATGGGCTGAGTAGCCTCCCTTTGTGCTGAAAAATTCTATAAAATTTCTATTTTCTATGAATGTAACAAAGGATTCTGTTTTCAATAAGTTTTACATTTTAAAAAACTAAGTTTTATAATAAAGCATTTATTTTTGTCAGCACACAGTCTGCCTCACATATGCGGAAACGAATCACTGCTAGAAAGTATAAAAAATAGACAAGAGTTCCATGCTTGCCACCTACACATTAAAATTCCTATCAATAATTAGCTTTCTGCACAGACTTAGACTCTGACGAGAGAGACCATGAAAACAATAAGATATTAATCCCCTCAGAAACCCACGAGATGAGTCATGTCCTACCTTTTATTGACTAGGTTTTTCATGTTGACCTCTGAGAGCAGTCCTAGTTTTCCACATTCCTGAAGCAGAAGACTAACGTAGTCACAGCTGTGTTAAACAGAAGTCAGCAAATTAAGCAGAAAGCATGATAATCAATGCAAATACAGCACAGTTTATGCAAACTACCACAAGCTACAAATCAGTTAGCTGTGTAAAGTGCTTTAATAATAATAATAATCCTTGCATTTGATATAGCGCTTTTCACGTCGGGAGGACGTCCCAAAGTGCTTCACAGAACACACTGTAAAGTGAATTGACTGTATATTTGTGGGCGAACGCGGCAGCCAATTGCGCACAGCAATGTCCCACAAACAGTCGTGGATTGAAAATGACCAATTTATTACTGTTTTTGGAGGGATTATTATTAGGCTCTGTGTGGAGTAAGGAAACTTGCCCAAGGTTTCGCCCTCTGCCTGGAATTGAACTCAGGTCTCTCACTTGCAAAGCGAGTGCTCTAACCACTGAGCTACAGGACTCCACATATAAGATATGCTCCCAAAGCGAAAGACGCTGAATAAACTTAAATTGTACGTACAATACAATTTACGTTCATCTGCCTGTTCAACAACAGCTTGGACTTCTATTGTATAGGGAGCTGTGGCTGAAGGCACTGTCCAAGAGGAAGGTCTTCAGGCGGGACTTGAAAGAGGGGAGGGAGGGGGCAAGGTGGAGGGATTGAGAGTGTTCTAGAGTTTAGGGGCATAGTGGCTAAAAGCATAACCTCCGTCCGGATGGGGTGGAAGGTGTGAGGGATGAGCAGGAGGCCGGTGCCAGTCTAGTGGAGGCGCTGAGTGGTGGATTAGAGAGTGAGATCGGAGGAAGAGATAGGGAAGTGCCAGAGAGTGAAGGGAATTGAACACAAGTGTGAGGATCTACAGGTCGATCTGTTCGGTGATGAGGAGTTCGTGGAGCCTGGGCCAGAACTGGTGAGATGTGGGTACGGAATTTCGCCCGGGTAAGTATGGGGGTGGCAGAGTTCTGGATGAGCTGGATCTTTTAAATAGTGCAACTGGGGAGACTGGCGAGGAGTGCATTTGAGTAATGCCACTGACCGTGGGCAGTCAGGGCGAAAACCAGACTGCAGGGGCTCGAGGAGGGAGTGGGAGGGGCGTGACCGAAGTTGACCTGCAACAATGCGTTCCAGGACTTTGGCAAGGAAGGGTAGGTTGGAGATGAGACAATATTGTGAGAGATTAGAGGGATCGAGGGTGGGTTTTTTGAGGTGGGGTGTGAACTGCAGTTTTCAGGGGGAGTGGAACAGAGCCTGAGGAGAGAGACTGGTTGACCGTGTCGGCCAGCAGTGGGGAGAGAAGGGAGAGTTGAGTGACCAGCAGCTGGGTGGGGAGGGAGTCGAGGCAGCAGATGGTGAACTTCATCTGGGAGACTGTAGTTGGGAGGAAGGAGGGAGAAATGGATGTAAAGCAGTGTAAGAAGTGGGGAGTGGCAGGAGTCACAGCGGAGGAAGAAGGTGGTGTGAATGGTCTGGGTGGGGTGGAAGGGGATATGGGGAGGGGGGTGGGGGATAGGACAATGCAGCCAAGTGGACGTTTTCAATCTTTGAGGCAAAGAAGTCTAGGGCCTCTTTGCACTTGGCGTTTGATGTGAGGATACAGGGGGTTTGAGGGGGTGCACGGAGGAAGTGATGGACAGTGGAAAACAGCTTCTTTGGATTGTTATTTGCCACTAGGATGACTTTGGAGTAAAAGTCAGCTTTGGCCCTGTGAAAGGGAGAGGCGGTGGGTGTAGAGGTGCTCAAGCCAAGGCTGGTGGTGAATCGTGAGGCTGGATTTCTGCCATCTGTGCTCAAGTATCCGGGTTTGTGTTTTGATTGAGCGGAGATGACTGTTATACCAGGGAGAGTGGGTGGGTTTGGAGACAACCCTGGATTTCAGGGGAACCAGGGAATTGAAGGTTGCGGAGATGGTCATTCAGTAGCTTGATGGCTAGATCAGGATCATTGCGGGTGGAGGACCAGGGGGAGAGGAGATCCAAGGAAGAGAGGGCATTTGTGAGGGACTCTGGGAGAAGCTTATAACAGGGGCTGAAAAAAAATGGTGGAGGGCTTGGAAGAAGGGAAGGGGATGCGGGAGGAGAGGAAGATGAGGAAGTGGTCGAGATGGCCTGGTCGAGGGAATGGCCAAGGTTATGGGTCGGCGAGTTGATGTGGAGGGTGAGGTTTAGGGAAGAGGAGGGCAGTGCAAGGAGAGTTCAGGTGAAGGTTGAAATCACCCATTATGAGCAGGTGTTCAGTGCAGGGGGACAGAGATCGGAGGATATCAGTGAGGGAGGAGTCGGGGGTTTGGGGTTGCGGGGGGGCGTGGGTGGGCAGTAAACTAGGAGGATTTTGAGGGAGAGAGAGGGGAGATGGTAGAGGTGAGGTGCTTAAAGATGGTGAAGCAGTCAGAGAAATAGACCAAGTGAAGCTTGGGAAATGAGGGCCTCCGCCACAATGCTGGTTGGGGCAGAGGTTGTGATGAAATGTGTAGCTGGGAAGGGAGGCTTCAACGAGGGGGACGGAGTCACCGGGGGAGAGCCAGATTTCGGTTAGCTTGAGAATATTAATGTGCTAATTCAGAATGAGGTCATGGATAGTAAAGGCTTTATTGAAGAGGGAGCGGACATTTTGGAGGGAAATGTGGATAGGTTTGCTAGTTGGGGGGTTGGGGGGGTGCGTGGGGTGGAGGAGAAGGATTTGGGGTCGTGGGGGAGAAATAACTGTGGCGTTTGAAGAGCAGGGAGAGTTGGAGAAGGTATGGATGTACAGAGAGGGAGCGGGAAGAGGTGTTTGCCTTTCGGAGAAGGTTGGTGCGGAGAGAGTGAGCGATGGACAGTTGGAGAGGCTGCTCTGGGGCAACCAGAAATGCCGGTAGCCATGTTGGGCCATTGTGGAGGATGCTCAGGCTGGAGCAGAGGGAAGCTATGGTGGGGTCCAGGAGAGAGAGAAGACGAGGAGGGCGTTGGGAGAGAAGGACAAAGTGGGAGCAAGAACATATTCAGGACGAGTGGCTTGGGGCAGCAGCCAAAACGTGCAAGCAGAAACCGGGAGCGAGCGGATCAGCAGGGCAGCATCAGCCCGCGGGCTATGGAAGACAGCGCATGGGGGGGGGGGGGGAGTGGAATTGGTGGTCATGGTTTAGGTGCCAAGGACTGGGGAGGGAAGTGGGGACCAGGTAGCACTTCAGGTGGATGTTAGAGATTCCACAGCACTATTTGAAAAGGGATTTCTATCAGTGTCCTGGCCAACAAATCCCCAAATAAAATTGGTCCATGGCTGTTTGTGGGACATTCCTGTATGGAATTGGCTGCCTCTTTTCGCCCAGGCTAAGAATCACAGAATTATCCAGGATAGAAAGAGGCCATTTGGCCCATCGTGTCTCTGCAGGTTCTTTGAAAAGATCTATCCAAATCAATCCCACTCCGCCACGCTCTCCCCATAGCCCTGCAAACTTATCTTGCCCATTCCGTATACAAACAACTCGCTGTGTGAAAAAATGTTTCCTCACCTCCCCTGTTTCTTTCAACTATTTTTAAATCGGTGTCGTCGGGTTACCGACCCACCCAACACTGGAAATAGTTTCTCCTTATTCACCCTATCGAATTCCCTCATAATTTTGACAACTTCTATTAAGTCTCCTCTTAACCTTCTCTGCTCCAAGGAGAATTATACTAGCTTCTCTAGCCTCTCCTGATAACTCAAGTCCCTCATTCCTGGTACTTCTCCTTTGCACCCTCTCCAATGCCTTGACATCCTTCCTAAAGTGTGGTGCCCAGAACTGAAAACAAGTCTATGGCTGGGGCCTAATCAGTGTTTCATAAAGGTTCATCACAACTTCCTGACCTTTGTACTTCTATGCCCCTATTTATAAAGCCCAGTATCCCATATGCTTTTTTTAAACAACTTTATCTACCTGTCCTGGTACTTTAAAAATGTTCTTATATGACCCCCAGGTCTCTCTGTTCCTTCACCCCCTTTAAGATTGTACCATCAGCTTAAGTTGCCTCTCCTCATTCTTCCTCCCAAAATGCACTTTGCATTTCTCCACATTAAACTTTATCTGCCACGTGTCTGCCCATTTTACCAGTCTGTCTATGTTTCTTGAAGTCTGCTACTATCCTCCTCACTATTTACTACTTTTCCTGGCTTAGTATCATCTGAAAACTTGGAAATTGTATTCCCTAATACCCAAGTCCAGGTCATTTATATAGATCACAAACAGCAGTGGTCCCAATACTGACCCCTGGGGGACACCACTGCACACTTCCCCCAGTCAGAAAAACAACCATTCACCACTACTCTCTGCTCTCTGTCTCCCAGCCGGTTCTGTATCCGCTGCCACTGTCCCTTTAATCGTGGGCTTCTATTTTGCTTACAAGTCTCTTATGTGTCACTTTATCAAATGCCTTTTGAAAATCCATATAAACTGCATCAACTGCACTACCTTCATCCACCCTCTCCGTTACTTCATCAAAAAAATCATTTAAAACAGAATTAAACACTTGAAAAGTTAAAATATACAGGGCATAGGGATTAGAGGAGGTTGATTCAGTGGCAAACTCCATTTTATACTCAGTGTGCTAAATAGCCACTACCTGTGCTCTTATTTGTGAAAATCGGATATTCTATTTCTGCCAGAGGCTGCCAGTACTGTAGTCTTCAAATACACAGCTGTATTCTATTGTATAGTAAACTGTATAGTATTGCACCATGATGCCGACACCTTTTCACTAAACCCTCTAACCAAAGGCAACGCATCTGCCAAATCAATGGTTGTTTGTCGTCAGCCACACAAACTCACACCACTGATCTATTCTTGTTTTAAACCCAATTAAGGTTTAAGAAATAATAATAATAATGCTTGCATTTGATATAGTGCTTTTCACGTCTTCTGGACGTCTCAAACTGCTTCAAAGAATAGACTGTAAAGTGAACTGACTGTATATTTGTGGGCGAAATGCGGTAGCCAATTGCGCACAGGACAAACAAACAAAGAAATGTCGCAACAGGCAAGTAACAGGAAGACAAATTTAAAAATGTATACAAAAGAACTCAAACACAATAGGGTGTAGTACACACCAACGAGTTCTTTGACAGTCTGATGCACGACTTACTTGCACCTCTGATCTGCCTTGTCTAGAAGTGGAGTCAGTTTGAGTAAAAACTCAAAAGCAGTGTTCACATCGTCAGTAAAGTCCTGTAACATAATTAATGATCAAGGAAGGTGCTTAGAGGGTGGGGGAGGTAGAATCAAGACCAAATAAACAACAGCCTGAATTTATACAGCGCCTGTCATGTTTAATAGCTCCTCGGCACGACCAGTGATATTGGGGCAGAGAGAGGGGGCAGGGAACTCCAGCAGGCTTGTTTTAGCTGAGCAGAGAGGATGGGCGGAAGAATGGAGTACAAGAAGATCGGAGAGGTGAGGAGGTGCTAGGACACAAAGGGATTTGCATGGTGAGGATGTTGAAGTCGATCCTTTCAGATATGGGGAGGCAGTGGAGCCTCGCGAGGACTGGGGTGATGAGGTGTGGTGAGTTTGGAACACCACTAAGTGAATCCCTCCATTCAGACCCCAACTTGAATTTGCTCCCCACCGAGTAACTAACAAAGCGGAGAACAAAATACATCACTAATGTCACAAAATGTGTTAATGTGGGAAACTATCCAGGACTGGATGGGCCTCATTCCTTTGACATGTACACGCCAATGCGTCACAACTCTTCAACATGCATCACAAGTTTAATTACTTTCCTGCATTGTTCAAATTTCACTGTTAAAACAAGCTTAACCAACCACAGGTGGGTCCATGGTACCTTAAACCATGGTCACGCTTGCAGCTTCTAGTGAAAAGGTCAAGTAAAATTATTAGCTCAACGCCACAGATAACCTATTGTAAAGAACCTAGCAGACAGAATCTTGTGAATTTGGTGTACGCCTTCTGGAATTAAATGCAAGTGTAAATTTTCTTTTGAGAACGCCAAATGGATCACAGGCTTGACAGAAATTGCTGCTATTTGCCCAATGTAGGATCGAGTGCCACATTGCTGATCTCACCAGAGTTACTGAGAGAATAAATGTTTCATATCCCAAAGCAAAATGAAGCCTCTCACCTTATCTCCAAGCGGATACTTCTTAAGTTTGAGTAAAGCCTGTGGAATCTGCAGAGATTGGATACAAGGTAAGGGCAGTACATTAGTTTCACTCCTTCAAAGCAAATCTGTAAGCAAGTTTTGACGATTCACACGAACTAATAGATCTACTGGTTTCTGACAGAGCTTTCCAGTATGACGTCTTGAGTGGCCAGCGTTATCTCCTCAATTTCACATAATAGCCGCTCATTCAATATGTGATTCCAGATTCAACATTCAGGTTTCCAACTAAAGACACCAGTTTGGGAATTGTACCCTCGTAGAATTATACAGCACAGAAGAAGCCATTCGACCCATTGCGTCTGTGCTGCTCTTTGAAAGGAAAATCAATTGAAAATCAATCCCACTCTCCTGCTCTCTCCCCGTAGCCCTGCAAACGTGTCCTCTCCAAATTAATTACTTTGCTCTTAAAAGTTGTTATCGAATCGGCTTCCACCCCTCTTTCAGGCAACGCATTCTAAATCCGAACAACTCGCTGTGTGAAAAAAATTCTCCTCACCTCCCGTTTCTTTCACCGACTATTTTAAATCAGTGTCCTCAGGTTACCGACCCACCCGCCAGTGGAAATAGTTTCTCCTTGTTCACGCTATCGAATGCCCTCATAATTTTGAAAACTTCTATTAAGTCTCCTCTTAACCTTCTCTGCTCCAAGGAGAATAATCCCAGCGTCTCTCGCCTCTCCTGATAACACTTATTATCCCTCATTCCTGGTACCATCCTGGTCAATCTCCTTTGCACCCTCTCCAATGCCTTGACATCCTTCCTAAAGTGTGGGGCCCAGAACTGAACACAGTCTCCAGCTGAGGCCTAACCAGTGTTTCATAAAGATTCATCGCAACTTCCCGACTTTTGTATTCTATGCCCCTGTTTATAAAGCCCAGTATCCCGTAGGCTTTTTTTAACGGCTTTATCTACCTGTCCTGCCACCTTCAAAGATTTACTTATACGAACCCAAGGTCACTCTGGTCCTTCAGCCCCTTTAAGTTTGGACCATCAGCTTATATTGCCTCTCCTCATTCTTCCACCCAAATTGTATCACTTCGCATTTCTCCACATTAAACTTCATCTGCCACATGTCTGCCCACTTTACCAGTCTGTCTATATCCATTTGCAGTCTGTTATTATCCTCCTCACTGTTTACTACTTTTCCTGGCTTAGTATCATCTGCAAACTTTGAAATTGTACTCCCTATACCCAAGTCCAGGTCAAAAACAGCAGTGGTCCCAGTACTGATCCCCGGGGGACACTTCCTTTCCGGGGCACACCACTTTCCTCCAGTCAGAAAAACAATTGTTCATCACGACTTCCTGCTTTCTGTCTCCCAGCCAGTTTTGTATCCACGCTGCCACTGTCCCCTTAATACCGTGGGCTTTGATTTTGCCCTCATATTATACCCAACACCAAAGCAAACTGATGTTCTCTACATGAAAGATGCAAGTCAAATCTGTAAAAGGGGAAAGAGTTACCCGAGGAAAACCTCATAATTCCACTTTGAGATACCTTCCCCTTTTATGAACGTGAAAGGCACTATGTACATGCAAATTGTATAGATACAGTGCCTTAGCAGGTCAAAATGTCTCAAACCATACCACAACCCTCAGACTCAAGAGAGCGACCAACTGAGCAAGGCCAACATCCTTTCTCAATACCCAGTGGCCAACTTTAAAATCAACATTGATGAAAGCCTGGGAAATGCTATCTTTTCAGGAATGGAAAACTGCTTTTGAAAAACAATTAGGGCAAACTTTATCTTTAGAAAAATTAAATATATTTTCCTTGACAGTGGCAACGAGTGTCTGAAATTCAGAGTATTAGGAGATGTTGTGAAAAGTACAAGGATGGAGTGCAGGCCCTCATTAGTAAATGTAAAGATACTATTGCTTTTAGAGTATTAATTGAGGCATTTTTTTGAGAATAGCACAGAGTACAGAAAGTTATCATGGAAATATCTGACTGCACAATGTTCTCGGGAGTGGTATAGATATGATCTAAAACAATATTGATTGGTAAATCAGGATTTATGTTTGGTGAACAAGGAAAGCCTTGGGTACTAAAAGGAATAATATTGAGCTTAGCGTGTGAAAGCACTAAGCCATTTTTCAGATGTTACTGCAGCACATCATGATGAGCGGCAGTGTAAGCGAGCCCTGGCTTGCATCAATCACTTTCCCTGCCAAACCTGAACCGAGTTTCTGATGCCAAAGTCTCATCCTTTCATCTTCCAATTCAGCATCAAGAGAGGTCTTGAACGGGTCCAATGCCCTGGCCTCTACCTGCCTTCCGGGCAACCCATTACAGTCGTTAATTACCCTTGGTATAAAGAAATGTATCATGGCGTCTGTTGATTCAATAAGAGCTTTTAAGAGAGAAGTAGATAATGATTTGGGGAGGACACGTTTGCAGGGCTGTGGCCTCCTTCTGTGCTGTATAATTCTATGATTCTAATTCCATTATGAAGTTCAGAACCTCTGTCATGTGGTAACTGTTAGTCATGTTCAAGGTTATTTTCTACCAACTGTAAAGCACCTTATATGCAGCTACTGGTACTTATATAGCACCTTTTATAAAAGGTAGCGTCTTGGAGCACTTTACAATGGCGGAGCTTGATGCCAAAGCCAGGGAGCGAGGAGAGGTGACCCTAGGCACGGTTGAAGAGGAAGGTCTTCAGATGTGACCTGTAGGCAGGTAAGGAGGGGGGCAAAGCAGAGGGATTGAGGTACAGTTCCAGAGCTTCAGATGTAGTGACTGATAGCACGGACACTGATGGTGAAGCGAAAGGAACTAGGGACGTACAGAAGGCTGAGTAAAGGCAACGGGTAGTGGAGTGTAAGCAAAGCAGAGGGATTGAGGTACAGTTCCAGAGCTTCAGATGTAGTGACTGATAGCACGGACACTGATGGTGAAGCGAAAGGAACTAGGGACGTACAGAAGGCTGAGTAAAGGCAACGGGTAGTGGAGTGTAAGCAGGTCAGAGAGGTAGGGAGATGACAGGGAGTGAAGTGATTTGTATGTGGTTTCTTTCTTTTTGGTCGGCTGGGTGTCTGACAAATGCAGAAACCCATCACCATGCTTAAGCATCCCACCTACACATGGAAATTCCAGTTATTTGTTGGAACTGCGTTGGATATGAGGTACGGTTGGAGGTGGACAATGTGATGCCCGTGCAGAAAAGCAGTCCTGATCAGGGACCGTCATCCTAACTTCACAGGAGTCCTCTCTCGAAGGACTCCTCCGTGTAGTCTCTATTAAAGGCTGAAAAGCCCCAGCATTCCTCCTTGTTCATTCCTTTAACTCTGTGCTGCCTCTAGCAACTGGCTGACCCTTCAATCTTTATCTTCAAATCCCACCATAAAATCTACCTTTTCAATCTTGCCCATAATCAACTACCCCACAGTCGGGGTCCAACCCCACCACTGTACAGAGCTCAGTGACTATTCTGTGTGAAGGGCGCAACATAAAGTTGTTATGTCATAGCAGCCAAATTTGATGCATCTGCAGCTTGACCAGAAAACATAACAATCCTTGCATTTGCTTTTGATGTGCTTACAAAGCACTGGACAGCTTGAGGATAACTTCTGGTGATCGGGACTCAATTCATTTAGCAAATGGAACCCACATTCCTGCTTTGTGCACTGCTTCCTCAGACTATCTAGATACGGTGGTGAGCAATGAGTTAACTGAAAGTCCAAGGTCTCTTTCAACTTCCCCCTTTGGCAAATTCTTTCCAATCCATACAGTATGTACATGTTCTTCCCATATGCCTTGATATTATGCGCTTAGAACTTAATTTATCAGTAATCAGCACTGATGTACCCCAGTGGAGCTCACTTTATAACAAGCTAGCTGTCTCCTCAGGCGAGTTTGAAAAAGTGGGTAATTTAGACACAAAGAACAGCCGTCAAAGCATTGACCCTGAGATCTGTTCAAAACCTTCCCCATTCCAATCCATCCCCTCTTAAGCTACTGTTTGCTCTCTTCAGCCAGTTACTAGTCCATATCTTACCCCTGAACACAATGAATGAAGGATTATTATTATTAAATCATTTTAAATCTCTGGTGTGGCGCCCTTTGGAAGCCTAGGTACATTAATGCCACATGGATTCCCACTATCAATTTGGGATGCCAATTCCTCAGAGAAGTCTGAGGCTGGTCAGTTAAAACAACAACTTGCACTTATATAGTGCCCTCCACCCAGAGTAGCGTTTCAGAAGCGCTAAAGCCTACTCTTTCTGAAGCTTGGTAGTTTAGTGTAGTTTATTAAATTATTTTCATACAGCCAGCTTTCCGTTTTGCTTCTGACGATTGACTGTATTTCTCCAGAGATGCCTCAACAATTTGTGCTGAACAGGATGTGAATAATCAAACGTATCTGCGTTAATGTAAGCCCCCCAAACTGAATGTTCTGACTGACAGGATTCCACAAAGGTATTAAGTCATCACATGCTGCAGCCTGTACATCTCCTGCTCAATCGCAACTTAGTGGCCCCCGGGCGATGGTCCTGCTGGGGAGGTGGGGGTGGGGGTGGGAGAGAGCCAGCGTCGGCCCCAGGGAGATGGTGAGGGAGGGGGAGGGCCAGCGACAGTCCTGGGGAGGGGGAGGGCCAGCGATGGTCCCGGGGAGGTGGGGGTCAGGGGAGGGCCAGCTACAGCCCCGCTGGGAGGGTTCCCCCACACCCACACAAACGACAACTCTGCTAGGGTCCAATGATGGAAAGGCTCCAAATGGGAGTAGTGATCAACAGGGATCGACGTTCAAATTTTCCAGACTAAATCAGCAGAGTCCCGACACAAGAGAGAACGGTGTTACCTTGAGGAACGTGAACGCTGTCCACTTCAACTCTTCTGTTCCTTCTGGTGATTCAATAAGTCCCACAAAGCAGGCCTTCCAGATCTCCAGTAAAAAGAGTGGGGCTGGGATTCGCTGAGCAAGAAGAGCAAATAATCAATACTGCAAAGAACAATCACTACATTATACAGAATATCCCACAGAGGGTTTCGAGACATGAAAAGGTGCTACATCAAAAGCGAGGAGTATTATTTATTATAGAAAGTCATCTATGGATTGAAGCTGGTCAGGCTGCAAAATTGCAGATAGCAATGCTAATTTAGACGGGTCAGGATTGATCAGACAGCTTTGAAACGCAATACAAATTTATATTTACACAGCCGATTTCATGTCGAGAAGACATCCAGAGGCACTTAACAATCATGGCTTGTCCCCCGAGCTGGGGGATGGAGGCCGAGGGGCTGGAGAGGAGAAAGGTAACCGAAAGCACGACTGAAAGTCTTTATGATTTTCCCTCCCATCCCCTTTCCCTGGTTACCTGCATCCTCTTCACCATGATGAGCTGCTCCACCAGTGACTGTGTGTCGGACGTGAGGTTCAAGGTTCCCTCCAACATGATCAGGGCATGAACGGTGGGGAACTCCATCTTAGTGTTTTTCTCACACTGAACGGTTAATACTGGAATACTGGAAATAAATTATACAATTCAATGTGGGAGAGGTATGTGTGTGTGTGGGGGTGGGGGGGTGGGGGGGGGAGGGAAGTTAGGGGTGAAATGTGGACATTTATAACCTGCCACACTTTACAAACATCATATTCAAGCTGCATTCAAAATCTGTGCTGACACGTCAAACAAAGTTTTACAATTTAATAATCTCTGCAGAATTACTTTGCTGTTCAGATTGTTGCGTGCAAAGGAGCGGAGCATTACAGCCAGGACCCCCGGTACACAGCGCATCGTCACGAGACTGCAGGGGAAGCTGCTTTACCTCTTGACCAGCGTGGCGCACTCCTCCAGCCTCATCCGCAGCTGATGGCTGTTTATCTTGTTGATGTTTTCTGAGAGTTTGACGAGCGCCTGCTCCACATTGGTCCACCCACCTGAGGTCCAGAAAGCACATCACAATATAATAATATAGTCCTTGTGTTTGTCTTATCATGTCTTCGAGACGTCTCAAACTGCTTCACAGGATATACTGTAAAGTGAATTGCGCAAACCCAGCAACCAATAATTGCACACAGCAGTTTCCCACAAACAGTCATGGATTGAATGACCAAATTATTATATATTTTTTGTAGGGATTATTACTCCCGGAAAAGCAATCCGACAATCGACTACAACAAAATGACATTTGTACAGCTCCTTAGGAATTGGGCTCCTACTTACTGCTGGGTAAACAGCAGTAAGTAGGAGTAAGGAAACTTGCTCAATGTTTCATCCTGCTTGGGAATCAAACCCATGCCACCTCACTTGCGAGATGGGAGCTCTAACCACTACGCTACATGACTCCACAATCTCAGCACGCAGTAAATTTTGCTTTGATTTTGCTTCAGGGTCACCCTGACATACAGTGACCGATGAGTTACACCACCATCACCAGCAATTTACATTTATACAATACCTTTCATGTCAGGAAGAAGTCTGAAAAGCTTGAGACAACTAACTGGGAGCCTGAGCTGCTGAGGTGTTTGTCCTTCGGGGGGGGGTGGCTGTTGGTGGGGGAAAAAAATTGCAATATCCAGGACCGACCAAATATTTCTCTCATGCCAGAAGACACCCAGAGGAGGGGAGGGGGGGGGTGTGGAGAAGGACAACAAAGGTTCACTTATCTCCAGTAAACATACAAAGAAAGAAACTGGGAAGCTTAATGGACGAACACAGTGCTGTCATTCATAAGCTTTGTTGCTTTATTTTTCAGCAGGATCAGAACTGAAGAGTGAAGCACCCGAGGCTAACCTTCCATCGGCATCACCAGGTAATCTTAGATTACGGCATAAATTGAATAGCAAAGGATTCTGGACATTACCGGAGGCAATACCAAACAACAACATATGGCTTGTTTAGCACTATCATAATGTCTCACAGAACTTCACAATGGTATGGTTGGACAGCAAGCAAGGCAAGTGGGGGGGGGGGGGGGGGAACGTGACTACAGACAGGGTGATTAGGTAGGTTTTAAGATGGGCTTTGGAAATGGGCAGAGAGGGCATGAGAGGAAAGGATATGGAGTTCCAGATGAAGGGGTGTAGTGACCAGTGGCAATATCAAAGGACAAAAACACATGACCCATCTAACCCATCTGCGCTTGAGCTTCAGACGTGCGCACATACCTTGCTCCTCCAGCCTGGCGATGTGCAGTAAGGACCTATTCTTCGTGCTGCTGACGGTCTTCTCCAGCCGCTTGGTGCACAGCTGAAGTTGTTCTTCGCCAGAGCTCGGATCTGGCATCTCCTTCTGCTTTTCAGCAAAATGATTGGCGCAGCGCAGCAGCCAGGCCAGGGAGCTCTGCAAAGCCCGGCACAGGCTGATACACTCCTCTGCTTTCCCATAGCAGCTGCAAGGTTCAGTAACCAAACAAATCAATCCTTACGTTAATACAGCATCTTATCACATTGTCAGAACATCTCAAAAGCACTTCCCATAATTTACTGTAAAGCACTGTGACTGTTCTTTAGGCAAACGCAGCAGCAGATCTGTGCACAACGACGTTGCACAAACAGCAGCCAAATATATAATGCCAGGCCTTGCTTTATTGCTCCTAGATTATCACGTTGCAAAAATTACACCTAACCAAGACCATATGATAAACGTACACTTGCACCATCACAGAAAAGGTCAGAGCAGGATTTACTGCAGCTGCTTTTTTCCAGGAGGGCAGCTGCCCAGACAGTGCAGCAACTAGGTTTCCACTTAGCACAAGGCAGCTGCACACAAAACTCTTTACATCCATTCATGACCTCACCCCACCCCTACCTCAGCGACCTACCAATCCAGTTGCTCCCTTCGCTCAGTGAAGACCGGATTGCTTCACATCTGCTCCACTATTGCCGGGGAGTTATCAATCATTCTGCCCCCACACTCTGGAACTCCATCCCTCTGACTTGCCTCCTCCCTCACTACATTCAAAGCCCACCTCAAGACTTATCTCTTTCACCTTGCTTTCGGTTGTCCACCCTCACCCTCTTCGGATCCCTCCCAGCTAAGCAGCGTTTTATAAATGTCAACTGTATTCAAAATCCTAGTCATAATGGTTTTGAGCTGAGGAAAGAAAGAAAATGAACTACAGAACAAGACTTCAACCAGTACACACCTGAGTCGATCGCAGAACATGTCCATAAGTTCAAGAAGTGCTTTGACACACAGCTCTCGAGAGTAATCTTCAAACTGAGTGTGGAGATTAAAGATAGATAAACATGGACATTTCTTCATTTCAAATACAGTTACCAACAACAAACAACCAAATTACATTTGTAAAGCGCCTTTCACATCGGGGAGGACGTGCCAAGGCACTGAACAGTCGGGGATCAGGATCCAAGTGTGGGGGGCAGTATTGGGATGAGGGAGGGCAGAGAGGTAGGAGGGTGAATGAAGACACGGTCGAAAAGGAGGGTCTTGAGTCGGCCTTGAAGGAGGAAAGGGAGGGAGTAAGGTGAAAGGATTGTGGGATGGAGTTCCAAAGGGTGGGGGAGAGGCTGAAAGCCCGGCCATCGAAGGTAGGGCAGGTTGGGCGGGAGACATGGAGCAGGCCGGAGCCTGCTGAATGGAGGGAGCAGACGGGTTGATAGGGGGTTAGCAGGTCAGAGTTAGGAGGGGGCAAGGCTGTGGAGGACCTCGAAAGTGATGCCGAAGATTTTGAATTCTATCCTGAGGGATGGGGAGCCAGTGGAGCCGGGCGAGGGCAAGGGTGTTGGAGTTGCGGAACCTGGTGCGGGAGAGGACACAAGCTGCAGAGTTCTGGATTATCTGCAGCTTGTGGATAACCATTCAATGTTATTTTCCAGCCTTCCTTCCTTCCTTCACCCACCCACCCATCCATCCTCAGCTCCCTCCCTGAGATCGGGTGACGAGCCAGTATTCTCAAGAGCTTTGCGATGTCCTTCATAAGTGAAAGGTGCTATATAAATGTAAATTGTATTGTATAAACCCTAAATTAACAGAGCTTGCATTTTTATGAGTACTATTTCTGAGCATAAAAAAATACAACTGCATGAATGCTGCAGGATCCCATTTCACTAATTAAATAAACAAAAACATTTTGTTCATTGCGGTCACAATCACCACGGTCATATTATGGGAAAAAAAACATTTCGTAGTGGAGAGGGAAAGAGTATTTCTTTTGGACGAGTCGATACTGATAAAAATAATATTTTCTCGGATCCAGAGTTAGACATTAAATGTACAAACGGAAAACTTATCGAATAAATTTAATTACAAACGGTTTGCACCATCTTCAAAACAAATACTGAGAATGACCGATGTATTATACACTGGAATGTAATGTACCATTTTTATATATAATCCACCAATCAATCAACTTGGTCATCTCAACATGTTTTCTTAAACCACAGAACAGGCTGGTGTGAACAGCCTTCACTCTGTAGCCTGTTCCGTGGTTTAAGGCTTGAAGTCCCCCCTCCTCGACTCCTCCCTCCCCAAAAGAACCGCTAATGAAATCTAATACTCAGTGATTTCCAACAGGATGCCTTTTTTAAATTGGCTGGGCGTCTAACATACATTACCCGGCTTAAAAGTATCAAACCAGACAGAGTTCCACATTGTATGCTTTCTACACATGGCAAATCTCAGTGTCTGGAATGCAATGTGCACTCACTCCCTGGAGGGCTGTATCCTGCTTACCTACTTTTGAAGAGTATTAGGCGCTGGTTGGCAAGAGCCAAAGCTTTGGGGGACTCCAGAGTATGCACTGGAAACCTGAAACATGTCACATTAATTCCGGCCCACATAGATTTCCACCAAGTCTGCAGATGTACTTCCAGTGGCTTTATTAAGAAATCCAATTGGACACTCCCTCACGCGTGATACCAATATCTGGCTCTGGTCATGTGTTGGGCCAATAGAAAAGTGTAGGAAATATTTGCCAAAAATTGCAGGGGAAATTTTGCAAGGGCCAGGGTTTTTTTTCCCCAAAAAAATTTTTCAGAAAGTTTCAGGGAGTTGATATTGAGGTACATTTTACTGCCAACCTACATTTTTTTAACTTTGTTGATAAAAACTAAACAATAAGGAAATAACATATTATTGTTACAAAGAAATTAAAATTACTTTTTTAACATAAACTGGCTGGGCCTTTTTAGGGGGTGTGGGGGTGAGGGGGGGGTTGGGGGTGGGGACACCAACGAGGCTACAGGAGCTCACCACCTCCAGCCTCTCAGGGCCAACATCGCACACAGTCCCAGAAAGACACACTCACAGAGAGATACACACACACACGAGACACACATAGAAGAGACGCATGCAGACACACTCACAAACATACATAGAGAGACACACTCACAGACACCCACAAACAGAGGGACACCACACACACACACACACACACACAGAGACACAACACTCACAAACATATATAGAGAGATATATACACACACACACTCACAAACATACAGAGAGAGACACACGCAGACACTCACACACACTCATGAACAGACACAGACAATCACAACAGTGTGGCCTCCAAGTGAAGCCCATTTGCCACACATACGCATCCAGAGCCACTCCATCCACAGTGGCATCAGGCAACCAGCGAGCGGCCCACGGGCCAGAAACTTCATTTAAAGCGGGTTTGTAGTGAGGCGGGTGTGGGGGGGAGGGTTTGTTTAAAGCAGGTTCCGCGAAAAACATGTGGCCACACTTTTCTGTTGGCCCAGCTCATGTGCAAACTCCTGCTAGATGTCAATAATAATAATCATCTTTTCATTTTGATACAGCGCTTTTCGCATCTTCAAGACGTCTCAACACGCTTCACAGAATATACTGTAAAGTGAATTGACTGTTTATTTGTGGGCGAAATGCGACAGCGTCCCACAAATAGTCCAGTTTATTATTTTTTTCTTGAGGGATTATTATCAGGGTGTGGAATAAGTAAACTTGCCCAAGGTTTCGCCCCGCCCAGGAAACAAACCCAGGTCCTCTCGCTTGCGAGGCGAGCGCTCTAACCACTGAGCTACAGGACTGCTAATGTATGTTGTAGAATGAATGTGGGAAAATCCCACAATGTTTTGTAAAGAAAAGTGAAAAGTTTTGTTTAACAGCGACAATAAATGGATTTGACCTTATTTGCCATTATATAATATGAAAACAGTCATCCTTGCATTTGATATAGTGCCTTATCATGTTGTCAATGTATCTCAAACCACCTCAAGAGGATTGTTTTTTACTATGAATGTAGTGACTGTGCATTTTGTAGATGGCAGCAACCAATTTGAGTCTAACAGTGTCTTACAGCGCCTTGGGACGTCCTCCCGACGTGAAAGGCGCTCTATAAATGGAATCTTGTTGTTGTTGCATTGATTCACCACAGAATGTATAGTACAGACTGCCACTCAGCCCAACCCATGTTGGTGCCCATGTATATTCTCCACACCAGTCTTCACCCACTTCTTACTCTCGCTCACACCCTTCTATTCCCTCTCCCTTATGTAAAAGGTCTAGTTTCCTCCTCAAAACATATATATTTACATCATATTGGACACTGACAGATGCAATTAATGACAAAGGATCCCCTGACTTTAGCTAATAAAGCTGATGAACAACGAGTTTTGGTCAGGGCACACTATTTGTACATTTGGTACATTCCGTAATATAATAAACTGGTCAGTCTGAGGGGGCAAACAAAATTAACTGGGAAGTTCCAACAACTTTACTTGTTTACATTCATTTGGTGGATAGGGAAGGGAAACCTGGAATCACAAGGGAAACCTGCTGATTGGTAGTTTCAGAAATGATTCCACTCAAACCTAGTGTGATAAGTCTGAGGCTTATCTTCAAGATAAGTTAAGACAAAAATCAGGCTACGCCACAGCTCTCACTGTCTATGCCACTGGGCACTGTGTAGAATCATGTACTCAAAACAACAACACTGCATATTTCTGTACTCAAAAAGTATTCTACACGTTTTACAAAATACCTTTGCAATAGTCGACAGCACGCTTGCATAGGAAACCATCTAGGAAAGCAAGTGGAAAAGAAATGCTGATTAGAGACTAAAGCAACACTTTCAAAACACATTTATGCTCTGATATTGGGTTTAGGAAAACATCCACTTCTAACAGTGATTTCCCCTGCATGATGTGATGCTCTTCTCTAAAATCTACATAATGGAAGTAATTGACTCCTTAATATACAAACACTGCAACTAACTATTGCTAAAACTCAATCCATGACTGCATTTAAAAAGTACTTGAATATAAGAGGAAAGCCTGGGGAATGGGATTGGAGAGCTCCAGTGGACGAGTAAACACTAACATGATGGGGAAAGAGCAGTGGAAGGGGATTAGAGAGCTCCAGTGCGGAAGTGAGCACCAGCACAGACACAACAAGCCAAATGGCCTTCTCTGCGCTGGAAACTTCTAGGATTTCCATGGTAAGTGTGAGCAGCCATGATGTGAGTGGGTAAACGTTATTTAAATAAGAATAATACAAAACCAATTGTGATGGATAGATATTTGGTCAGGACAAATTTGCAAGACTATGAGGAGAGTAGCATTAATTTGGATAGCTCTTTTAAAGAGCCGTCATGGGCACGATGGACCGAATGGCCTCCTTCTATGCTGTATAGTTATATGATTCTCCGATAGAGAAAGTGGTCCACAGCTATTGACGAAGGTTATAAAAATCTCACTAATCTATACAGGTTAAACAACTTTAATCAGACCAGCTCAACTCGACATAAACACAAACCTGCAGAACGTGTATGTGACTTGAATTCAGCCAGAGTTTTTTTTAATATAAACTCCCATATGTAGGCGAGTAAATGCATTGAATCCTTTTGGAAAGGTAGTAGCATTTAGCAAGTTGCAAGTCACCTTACCTGTGAATTTATGGCATACTTCAAATAAGACATAATCAGGGGATTGGGGGAGGGGCCCACCAGCGCTTGTTCCAGGAGATGATCTGGGAAGAAAGATGGGGGGGGGAGAAAAACACGATTAGAGCAACATCATTGCAGCAAATAATAGTATCCTTGAAATCTTTCAACATGTTAAAAAGAATCCTGTAATATTCTTCAGATAACCAGATAGGAGTATGTCTTCTTCTTTTAAAAAAAAACCACTCACTGTTAAAGAGCCAAAGATTGCCCAGAAATGAAGACTCCCTACAAAGGTGAGTAAATCTACTAAAGTGATGCATGCATGAGGCCTACAGATTAGGACTGGCCCAGATTGGTCACTGGTCTAACTGACATTCAATTAATTTCTAATTAACCTCATTCTGGAAGACGATTCGAGGTGTTTTTTTTTTACTTGAATGGAACTCCATAAATGCAAGTTCTTCTCTGCTTCTTGGTCTGTATATAACATAGCTTCACCCAGGACAAGAGTTTGAGCAGCACATAGAGCCTGGGTTTGAGGTTCCCACCACAGATTGCTTTCGAGTGGAAAGCTCAGTGATGGCAATGTGGCTGAAATGGCGTAGAGCTTCCAATGCCCAAGGGATTATATCCAGCATAGCTCACAGTCTCGGTAAATGAAGGGGCGGAAAAGAAGAAAGCTCATTTACTGCAGGACTCAAATCTTAAGATTATTGAGAGCAAGAACATTTCAATAGCTTTACAATGGGTTACACTCCAATTGCTTTACATTTAGTTTATTTGTCTGCAGAGTTTATATTTTTAAGATTTCCATATCCCAACAGGCAGAGGGTATCAAATACGGAAAAGAACAATAATTTTTGATCACTCGGCTAGCTTTAAAAGTTTGAACAACAACTTGCATTTATGCCCTTGAAGGGCAGAACGCTACCCCGCCCTACACGCGAGGTCCCAGAGCTTTTGACAGTTGCAGAGTCTCACCCTGAGCTAGGGGGGAGAGGGAGATGACCATAAGCAGGGGGCTTTGCAACAGTTGGACCTTGCTCATGAAAAGCCTCACCTGAGAGTCCAAGGAGGTCCCAGGTAGGACCCTTGGGGAAAAGCTTCTTCATGTTTATGGCCCATTGATAGTCCATCCATCGTTCCTTCCAGGCCTGAAGAATGGCCTGCCTCAGGTTCACCACCTTCATCTGTTAGCTCTGCTGCAAGGAAGCAAAAAATATTTTTAAAAATCCAAGGGTCCCAGGAATCCAATCGCACACTTCACCCTGGAAGACGAGTCAGTAAGAAATAATAATCCTTTCATCCTTGCATTTTATTAGCTTATTACTTCAGGAGAATGTCTTAAAGCATTTCACAGTATATACAGTAGAGTGTATTTTGTGGGAGAATGCAGCAGCCAGTTTTGCACACAGTAATGTCTCACATCAATCCACTTCACAATATATTCTGTGAAGTACTCTGAGATAAATGCAAAGATTATTCTTATTATTACTACAAACAACAACCACCACAAAATTACGTTTGTAAAGCGCCGGGAGGACGTCCCAAGGTTCTGGACAGACAGAGTTACGGACCTGAGCTCTTCGACCGTGCCTTTGGTCTCCCTCCCACCTCTCTGCCTTCCCTCACCTTACACCAACCCTCCCCCATGCTCGGGCCCCGGCACCTGACTGTTCAGCGTTTGGGGAGTCTTCCTGACGTGAAAGGCGTTCTATGAATGTCATTTTGTTGTTGTTGTTGTTGTGAGCTGGGGGTCGGGTGGAGGCCAAGGGGGGAGGGGGAAGCGCGGAGATCGAAAGCGTATTCGAAGAGGGTCTTGACGTGGGTCTTCAAGATGGTGAGGGAGGGGGGGGGGGGGGTGAGACGGAGCGACTGCGGGATGGAATTCCAGAGGGTGGGGGCAGAGTGACCAATGGCGGGGCGGGCGAGGCGAGGCGGGGGGACGGACGGACGGGGAGCAGGCCGGAGCCGGCTGAGCGGAGGGAGCGAGCGGGACGGTAGGGGGTTAGGAGGTCGCCGAGGCAATGGGGAGCAAGACCGCGGGAGGGCTGTGAAGACGAGGACCAGGATCTTGGACTGTGGCCTCTGCGCGATGGGGAGCCGGCGGAGTCGGGCGAGGACGGGGGGGGGGGGTGGGGTGTGGGGGGCGATGGGAGGGTGGGGGTGGGGGGGCGATGGGGGGGTGGGGGCGGAGTGAATGACTGATTCTCTGGGGGGGGTTTTGTGGACCAGGAACACAGCGCCGCGGAGCCCGGAACGTCTCCACCTGAACAGTGCACAGGAGGGGAGCGAGGTTTACCGTCTCTTCCTAAGGAAGGCGTCTCTGGCCACTCAGTGCCCCCCCTCTCCCCTCCCCTCCCCCACCCGCTCATGGTTTGTTGTTGTCAGCCCGGACTGTGCGCTCAGAGCCGCCTGACCTGAGGGGGTGGGGCGGGGATTCAACCCACAACCTCCTGCACAGTGTCCCGCCGGGAGCCACCCGCTGAGGGCCCGGCGCTGTGTCGGTCGGTCGGTCGGTCGCGGAGACAGAGCGAGAGAGAGAGAGACACAGAGAGACGCCGTCACCGCACCGCCATCTTACCGCCTGCACCACGGAACAAAGCGCGCTCTGATTGGCCGAGCCGCCGGACCAATCGAATCAATGAGGCCGCGGCGGCGCGCGGGGCAGGGCGGGAGTTGCGGTCCGCGGCTCCGGCCAATCAGCGCGCTGCCCGCGGCCGGCGACTACACCTCCCACAGTGCCCCGCGCCCCACACCGCCCGCAGCTGCCAACTGCAGTGAGGCGCAGGATGGTGAGTGTGCCCTTGTGAGCAGCTGAGTGTGAGTGTGAGTGTGAGCAGCCTGGGCTGGGGGGCGGGGGGGGGGGGTGATGGGGGAGTGATGGGGCATGAGGGGGATGGAGTGAGGGGATGGGGTGGGGGATGGGTGATGGGGGTGAGGGATGGGGGGAGGATGGGGATGAGGGGGATGGGGTGAGGGGATGGAGGGTGAGGTGATGGGGTGGGGGATGGGGTGAGGGGATGGGGTGGGTGATGGGAGTGAGGGTGATGGAGGGGTGAGGGTGATGGGGTGGGGGATGGGGTGAGGTGGGGGATGGGGTGAGGGTGATGGAGGGGTGAGGGTGATGGGTGGGGGATGGGGATGGGGTGAGGGTGGGGTGATGGGGGTGAGGGTGATGGGGGTGAGGGTGATGGGGGTGGCCTGATGGGAGGGGTGATGGGGGTGGGGGATGGGGGGAGGATGGGGTGAGGGTGGGGGGATGGGGATCGTGGGAGCGAGGGTGATTGGGTGGGAGGGATGGCATGATGGGGGAGTGAGGGTGATGGGGTGGGGAGGATGGGGTGGGGGTGATGGTGGGATGAGGGGGGTGGGGGTGATGGGGGAGGGTGAGGATGATGGGAGGGTGGGAGAGTGACGGGGGTGGGATGAGGAGTGGGCGTGATGGTGCTCTAGTGGGGGCTTCTGTTTGGGTGGGGGTTTCTGGACGTGGCTGCCTGTGTGTGAGTGTGTGTGTGTGTGTGTTTAAGATGTCTTCATGTCAGGCTCGTTATGACTCAATGTTCGCATGATATCAATGTATAAAGGTGCTTTACACGTTTTGTTTTTTTAAAAAAACGCAATTAATTTCCCCTGTTGGTGCTTTAATTCATTAAATTAAAATATTGACTCTTTAATTATATAAGAGCTTATTTTTTTTGAAAAAAGTTACGCATGATATTGCCATATCCCCTGTCAATGCCATCTCTCAGTGCCGTCCCCACTTCCCCCACACCACAATGTAATTTATACACACGTCGCGCCTGATCACGTCGGGAGCGTGCCTGGAAGCATTTGGAACAGGCGAAGCACTTTGTGGATTGCACTTGGCACTTTCACCTCATCGCTGTAGAGCATTGTGTCCTCCACCAGTCAGGGCAGTGACGAGAACCAAGCACTTTGATGCGTGAAGATCGTTTGAAGAGTCTGCAAGCGGTTTCCTGCAGCCTTGGTACAGTATTGACTTGGAATCATTAGTATGTAGAATATGAACTATGGTTATCATTTGCACTAAATTGCCGTCGTCCTGTATTGGTCGTGCAAACCTGGCAGCGCGTGTTGAGGGCTGACACCGACCGGGCACCTGAATTGGGGCTGACTTTGCATTTCCCAGTGGGTGATGAACAACAGCAACAAATTGCATTTACATGGTGCCTCTCACACCACTCGAGACATTCGCCACCAAAATAAAATGACACAACACGTTGTGGTCAGGTTTACAGATAGAGCTCATTGGGTGCTCAAGACTCGGCTCTGGAAAACAAACAATACAGATTTACATATACCCAACATCTTTCACAGTATCCAAAAACACTCAACAGTACTGGCTGGGCACCTGAGCTGTACTTAGGGGTGGGTGCGGGGGGAGAGGGCGGGGGGAGAGGATAGATGTCTGAAAGCACAACGCTTGAACAACTGCCAGACGCCCTTTGATCTGGCCAGCAGTGCAATTCTAGGATCCGCGTGGCGAGCGCCGAGAGCTCTGGCGAAGGCCACGGAGCTGATGTTACTGACAGCGCTGATGGCCTGCAGCCAGCTCCGTGGCCCAGAACGACTCGGCAGTCACCTCTGACCAGCGAGATTGCTGAAAGATTCATGCAACGAAAAAATAACAAGAGAATTGCGCAACCCTCACATGAAAACCTGCCAAAGTGACGACACGCCTGAATATTTCTGCTCTGCACCGGGATGGGTTGCCACATGCCGTGGACAGCGTCTTTGTACATCACAGTGCAGTAGACTCGGAACTCAGGTTTCCTCAGTCCGGGGGATGTGAGGTGACATGTGATCCTGCCACTGAGGACAACGCCTGTCTTTATTTTTGTGGGGAGAGAGAAAAAGAGAAAACCTTTGTGTTACAGTCGTGCTTTCTGCAAATCCTGTTAAATAAGGCATCACTTTAGCTCCGTCTGTTGCACTCACACCGCTGAGTCGGGTGTTTGGGGGTTCGAGGACTCACGTCGGAGGACTTTGAGCTTATAGTGCAAGCTAATGTTCCGGTGAGGGGAGGCGGCAGGAGTGTTGGATAAGACATTAAACCAAGATCATTTTCTGTGCCTCGTTCAGCCGGTCGATAAAGATCCCGGTTGTCCTGCCCGACAATCCCCCAACTAAAATTGGTCACTCACTTCACAGCCGTTTGTGGGACGTTGCTGCCTCCACCTTCTCCACTTCGTCTCCACTAACGGCTTCTCCTCCAGCCCCCGCAGCACCATCACGTGTGGTGTCCCTCAGGGCTCTTGGTTTCCCCACCCTTTTCAACATTTACATACCCTCTTAGTGACATTCATCCGGAGACATGAGGTCAACTTCCACATGTACGCAGACGACACCCAACTCTACCTCTTCACCTCCACCCACGACTCCAGGACCACTGCTGTCCTCATAGACTGCCTGTCGGACATCAAGTCCTAGATGAAAGCAAACTTCCTCCAGTTCAATGTTAATAAGACCGAGGCCCTCCTGCTTGGTTCCTGTCAATGCCTTCATATCTCAGGCGCTGACAGCATTACCCTTCATGGATGCGCTCTACACCTCACAGACCCAATAGGGAACCTCGGCGTCCTGTTCGACCCTCAACCGACTCTCATCCATGCATTCATTGCATCCAAGCTTGACTACGCAAACTCCCTCCCTGCTTGTCGGCCTCCCCAACTCCTCCCTCCATAGGCTCCAGATCATCTAGAACTGTGTCCTCTCCCGCACCAGGCTTCGCGACCCTATCATCCCCATCCTCGCCCGGCTCCACTGGCTCCCCATCACTCAGAGGATATAGTTCAAGATCCTGATCTTCACATTCAAAGCCCTCCATGGCCTTGCTCCTCCCTACCTCTGTGACCTCCTAACCCCTACCAACCTGTCCGCTTCCTCCGCTCAGCGGGCTCCAGCCTGCTTCACAACCCCCGCCTTGCCTGCGCCCCCATTGGCGGGCGGGCCTTCAGCCTCTCTGCCCCCACCCCTCTGGAACTCCATCCCACAATCCCTCGCCCCCTCCCTTGCCTTTTTCAAATCCTCTCTCAAGACCCTCCTCTTCGACCTTCGTGGGTGCCTTTGGTCACCCTCCTATCCCTACCCTCCCTGCCACGCGTATGCAGATGACACCCACCTCTACCTCTCCATCTCCACCCTCGACTCCAGGAACACCAGCTCGGGTTTGGATCCCTGACTATCCAGCACCTTGGGACGTCCTCCTGACGTGAAAGGCGCTGTACAAGTGTAATGTGTTGTTGTTGTTGCTGTGCTCAAATTGGCTGCATGTTTTCCCACAAAACAGTCACTACACTTACACTACACAGTAAATTCTGTGAGGTATTTTGAACCATCCCCTTGATGTGAAAGGTGCTGCATGAAACGCGAGGATTATCGTGATGATGATGAGTACTGGGGTACGAGCTCCAGTTGCTGCTTTGTACCTCGTTACCCAAGCGGTTGGTATTGGAGGGTAGTGCATCACAGCCAAACTGAACCATCCCTCACCCCCTTATTCCCGTGTGGCTGATCCACTCACAGTCCTTCCCTGAGCGACTGGGGTTCCGGCCCGCCCCCCGGGGCACCTGGAAGTCAACGTGGAGAGACTCGTTCCTCACTACCCCAGCCCCGTAGTCGGTGAGTTAGTCTCACTCCTGACTGAGAGACTGTAAATAACCCGACATCAAGATAGACTCACGGTGGGGCAGGCCCTGCCCCGGCTCCACATTTTACTATCCCAGACGCTCGACTTGCAACTTTGGACCTGGACAGTTTGTTTCTGGGAAGGAAAATAACTTCAGCTCGTAAAAACTTTATAACTGTGCGTGAGTACTTGAGTGTGTCACATAAACCAGTGAACTGCATGTCCGGCACCTCAGGTCTCTGTATCCTCTCAGGTCAAACATCTCAACCTCCGTCCTTCCCATCTTCAGCCTCTCGCATCCGAACAGTAAGAGACTGTTTTTCCTTTTTATCCTTTTGCAGCGCGGCTTGTTCAGTGTATCAGTTAGCGGGGGAAAGAGCTAAAGCATAATAATAATCCTTGAATTCGATGCAGTGCCTTTTCAGGTCACTTCGCACGATTTTTCTGTAAAGTGTAGTGACTATGTGTAAGCGAACCCTGCCGCCGATTAGCACAGGGTGACATTCTGCAAACAGCTGTGAAGTGAATGAGTGATTTTCTCTGGGGTATTGTCGGCCAGAAACTCCCTTCTCTCCTCAAGTAATGCCGCAGGATCTTTAACATGTACCTAACGAGGCTGGAGTGCATGTACGAGCTGTGTCGGTTTCCTAAGTTCAGAATCGGACCATCTGTCCTTTCTCCCACAAAATATGCAGTCAATTCACTTTACAGTATATTCGGTGAAGCGCTTTGCAACTTCCCAAAGGCGTGAGAAGTACTATATCAAATGCAAGGATTATTATTATTATTATTTCTCCCTTTGCCCCCTCGATCGGTTTCTGCCTTGAAAGGTCCTAACCAGGCACCAGACTCTCTGTTGGCCTGTGGAGAAGCCGTGTGTTTCATGACATCTCTGTGTGCAGTTGTATGTCTTTACTGTGTGTTTGTGCAACATCCGCA